GTCAAAGAAACTAAATAACCCACCAGTCAGCTCTCCAAACAAGAACACTCAATCTTTCCATATTTACCCATCCGAAAATTGCTTTGCGTAACAATATAGGCGGAGGAGGTTAGCGGTTGTCGAATCTGGTGGGAAGGTTTGGAGAGACGGCGATGGTTGAGCGATTAGTATGTAGGTCGGGACACCATTTAGACCTATTTACATTAGTTGCGGCTTTTCAATCCTCATTCGACAAATTAACATCACTCAACCTTTCCATATTTACCCCTCTCTTAAAAACACATGTACCACATATTCACTCAAAACTTCTATGTTCAAAAATATTGTTGATTTATGGTAGTTATATTATTTAAGCTACGTCAAGAATTTTGCATCGCTTCTACACATTCAATACTGCAATTCGATATGCAATATTTGCACCAATAACATTAGGCTTGCAATTATAAAATTATTCTCCTTTTATAAAATAAATAAAAATAGAATTGATTATTAAACTCGAATTAAAATAATCAAAGTATGAAAATAGAAGTATCAAATACCAAAAAATTATTTAGGGGAGAGTTAGTGGCTTAGCTAACTATGATGGAAAATTCCAATGATTTTTCAGATTTAAGCTTCTTGTATATTTTTAATTTAAATTTTTTAAACAAATTTGTTTAGTGTAATTGATTAAGTTTCTTGTCTTTTTTCAAAGAGATCACAATTCAAATCCCATAACTTATGTATTTTTCCTGTAAATAAGAAAATAATAAATGACTATGAAGACGAATCTATCCTTTCTACTTATGCTATGGATGCAAGGATTTTGTAATGGGGGAAGCACCTTTCACATTTCACTCTTATATTAGGTGTAGCAAAAGTAACCCGGTGGTTGAGTGTTTAGTTGGTCGGACACTATTTGGGTCCGTTTACATTAGTAGCACATTTTCCATTTGCGTTGAGCAAACCAACAACACTCAATCTTTCCTTATTTATCCCTCCAAAAATTGCTTTGGATTAATAATAGAGGTAGAAGAGGTTAGCTGGTTGTTGAGTCTGATGAGAAGTTTGGAGAGACGATGATGGTTGAGTGTTTAGTGGGTCGGGAAACTATTTGGGTCCATTTACATTAGTAGTGTTTTTTCCATCCACGTTCGGCAAACCAACATCACTCAACATTTCCATATTTACCCCTCTCTTAAAGACACATGTGCCCCATATTCACTCAAAAGTTCTGTGTTAAAAATATTGTTACTTTATGATAGTTATAACAATTAAGTCTATGTTAAGAATTCTACATCGCTTCTACAAATTCAAGAGTGCAATTCGATATGCAATGTTTGAATCAATGACATTTCGGTTGCTAACCTTGGTGGAAAACTCCTATATTTTTCCAGATTTAAGCTTCCTGTATGTTTTTAATTGCAAAAGATCACACAAATGTGTTTATTGTAACTGGTTATGTTTCTTATTTTTGTTCAAATAGACCACGGTTCAAATCTCATTACTGTTGTATTTTTTCTGTAAATAAGAAAATAATAAGTGATTGTGCAGACGAATCTATCCTTCCTACTTTCACTCTGGATGCAGGAAATTTGAAATGGGGCTTCAAATTTTCTCATTTGGCTTTTATTTATTGTGTAGAAATAATGGGTGCATGAAAGGTAGATAATAAATGAGAGAAAAAGATAAGGTACATATAGAAACTACAAAATCACTATATAAGATAACGATCCAAATTAATTCCCAACAAAAAAAAGTTAAGAGGACGAAGTGGATATTCCAAAGGAAACCCAAAGCTTATTTGCAAACTGAATCAATCGTTGTATGGGTTACAACTTACAATAGGTTCCTAGATCCTGATATGAGAAGTTTCATAACACTATTTTACAAGCCGGTTTTGTGCATAGTAACAATGATAATTCCCTTAATTTACAAACTTTCTTACGATGGTGTATTTAGTTAATGGTATAAGATATATTATTGAATCTGTTTCAACAATTCGAGTTATTGATACTGAAGGATTTTTTATTAATGACATCATTCGAAAGTGAAGGACTAACTAAATCATGGATAATCTTTTGTATAAGATTCATTATTAAACATCTCTCAACATCTTGAGTTATCGATAGTAAACGTTTCTTGACAAAAAAACACCATTTGGAAGCGAAGGATAACTAAATCATGAATAATTCGTTTTACAAAGAGAGTGACATTCTTGATAGTTCCAACTACTATATTTTAATTTATCCCAATTTTTCAAATATAAAATTAAATCACGAATGATTAAAAAAATTCAAAAAGTTATTTTTATCATGTGTATTTGTCTAAGTGTACCCACCTTAAATGAAATCCTGACTACGCCCTTGATTGGAGCCTACTCAGTTTTGTGGACTATAAACCTTGCTCTACTCCCATGGAGCATAACTTTAAGTAAAGCAGGTCTAGTGGTGAGCTTCTTGAGGATCGGTCATTCTATCGAAGTGTGGTTTGAAGTCTTATCTATTTGACTCATACACATCCAGATATCGAGACATTTGCAAATGTCAATTTATGATGGTTGCCTGGATACAAGTCTGTAATCAAAATCTCAATTTTAATATTAAAATCTTACGATTTTACGATCTTACCTATGTGTTTCGATATGATTTTACTACAAAATCTTTGAACCTTAAAATCCCATAAAATCCCGATTTAAAATTCTAAAATCCTTAAAATCTACGATTTTTACGATTTTGTTAGATTTCAAGGTTCATGTCTATTGGAGCAAAATTAGGTGGGCCAGTTCAAGTTTTGCCCATGAATCGAGTCCAGTTTACTTCCCCCGACCCAACATTATCAACAATACAACCCTAACCCGATAGGCGACCCTGACTTTATTTTCGTTCTTTTCCTCGTATCTTCCTCTTCCGCACGCCGATGTCCAATTCCTTCCATCAACGATTTCTTCCACCCTCCCAATTAGCTTGTAGTTAGTTCTCACCGCCCTCACAATTATCCCAATCTCCATTCCATTACAAACTTTCATTCATCTACCAATCCTTCAACACAACTATCCCCGACCTTTTAGCGATTAAGTAGGGAATGCATCAATCAATGAGTTACGTTTCTCAAATGATGGTGCTCAAGGAAATATGGTTAATGGTGATAGTACTTCAAGTGACTAGACAAGGATTCTAAGAGTGAGGGTAAAGATGATGATGTGTGAGGGATACTAATGTTAATCCTAACGACATTATGTAATTTATACTCTTAACTATAAACTAAATTAAGTGATTTTTATGAGCTTTTAGGTTTCTTATTTGTGTGTTTATGTTATGTTCAAGAATAAATAAATGGATTTAATTGTTTTATTTAGGTTATATGTGGTTGACTTTTATTCAGGATATGCATTGTTATTACTATTTGGTGTTTTAAGTGTTTATTTTAATATGAACCTTAAAATCTTATGATTTTACGATTTTAGTCTACGATTTCGATTTTACCTCAATTTTTTTATTTTAGGTAAAATTACGATTTTGATTGCATTTATCCACATATGGATGGTGTATTCGGTTTGGACAGTCATTCATATCATGACATTGTCGCAAGCAGGAGAAGGTTTCTAAATCTCTTACAGAGTTCAAGTACAAATCAATGTCATATGACCGAACAAAACACATAAATGTGCTATGTGCACTATATTCGGTAGTTGCTAGCGGAAGGAACACATAGAGACAACTGACATCCTGACTAGGGCAATGTCTTCTTGTCGTTACTGGTACTTATCTTCCAAATTGTTGTTAGGTACCCAAGATCAATTTGAGGGATCTCTCTGCCTAAGGACCGGGTGGTGTGCACCTCTGGGACTGGTAATGGTGTGGTGCAGCTTGTCAGCCCTTGTACTATAGTCTGCAGGTGGGATGGGGCGGCGAGGCATGGGTCCCATTCGGCTAGGGGATGATACTCCTGGATCATGGGGGTAGGTAATCTCCGCAGCAGCCGTTCATTTTTCGGTGATAGATGATCCCATGGTAGTGGAGCTTTTGGTACTCCGCGAAGCAATTCTGTGGTGCCTACAAAAGGGTTTTCGGTGGTGAGTTTTGGGGGGATGCGCAGGTGGTTATCAATAGGCTCAATCAAGCTCATGTGCATGACAGTATAGCGGGTGGCATCTTCCATGAGGTCCTGCGGTGCTTGGCGGAGCATGTGGGGTTTAGTGTTCGATTCGTAGGTCGGCGGAATTTGAGGGATGATGTTAATTATAAGTTTATAACACGTAAAAAAATATTGTCTTCTTTACATTTCTGTTTGATCGTTCTAAATGATAACTTTTTTAAGATAAGGGTGATATATGTTATTTTTTGTAATTAGGTACTACTGAAGGGATTCGAACCTGAGACCTCCAGGTTCAAGGCTAGTAGTATTACCACTAGACCAAACCCTTGTTCGTTCTAAAATGATAACCTGGTACTCTAAATGATAACTTACGGTCTGTTGGTAGAGCAGCGACACTCCCAACATCAACATCGACAATCAATCTCACCACGCGATGTCCGTGAGGTGGCGAAGAGAAGTGCACGACATAAATGGAAAATTTAACTGTCACATCATCAATTTAGCAGTAGAAAGTTATAGTTGTCTGGTACGTAGGACGAAACTAACATAATTAGACACGGATGACAAACCATATATTGAATTTAAAGTGAGTACCTAAAATAAAATGTTATTCCCAAATCCCAAATACGAATTCATCAACAAACTAAATGGGCAATCGTGTAATTTACCCGGGAAATATGAATCAAAACTTACCAGACTAGCCATAAGCCAATCATAGCAGCAGAGTGAAATTCCCTTTTACATTTCAACTCCGATTCGGAGAACCGATCATACGCCACAAATTCTCGTCTTGGCGCCGAACCCCACCGTGCCGTATATATAGGGTTCCCTTCAGAAATGGCGGTCTTCTAATCCCACAACCATATATGCAGTTAGCATAAGTTCATCATCCATCGGAACTCCGTCTTCTCCACATTTCAGTCATGTCTTCTTCTTCTTCTTCTTCTTCTTCTTCTTCTTCCCAATCTCCAAAATCCCTAGACTCTCTCCTCCTCCATCGTCGTGCGCTCTCTTCCCTCGCCGCTGCAATCCCTCCGAGCGATCCACTTCCCGCCGCCCCTCTCCCTTCTTCTCTCCCTCCTTCCAAATTCATCCCAGGCACCCGCTTCCTTATCGACGCCTTCCGCCACGCCGCCGCCGTCCCCGCCCCGGCCGCCGCATACTTCCTCTCCCACTTCCATTCCGATCACTACTCGGGCCTTTACCCTAACTGGTCACACGGCATCATTTTCTGTTCTCAAATCACCGCCGATCTCGTCACCAGAGTTTTGAAGATCCCTAAGCAGTTCGTCTTCCCGTTGCCGTTGCGTGAGACGGTGCTAATCGATGGTTCCGAAGTCACTCTCGTGGACGCTAATCACTGCCCTGGCGCGGTTCAGTTCTTGTTCAAGGTGCCGGCTAAGAGTTCAACAACAGGTTTTGAAAGGTATGTTCATACCGGCGATTTCAGGTACATCAGTTCCATGAGTGAGGATGCTCTGTTGCGTGGATTTATTGGCTGCGACGCTGTTTTCTTGGATACTACTTATTGCAACCCTAAATATGTGTTTCCGGCTCAAGACGAGGCTGTTGATTATGTAGTTAGCGTGATAGATAGTGTACGGAAGGAGTGTTTGGATAAGAGGGTCTTGTTTCTTATAGCCACTTATGTTATTGGCAAGGAGAGGATTTTGCTCGAGACTGCAAGGAGGTGCAAAACGAAAGTGCTTGTTGATGGCAAGAAAATGGAGGTTTTGCGGGTATTGGGGTATGGGGAGACTGAGGGGTTTACAGAGGATGTGCTTGAGAGTGATGTCCATGTTGTTGGTTGGAATGTGTTAGGTGAGACTTGGCCTTATTTTCGTCCGAATTTTGTCAAGATGGCAGAGATTATGGCAGAAAGAGGGTACTCTAGAGTGGTTGGTTTTGTTCCTACTGGATGGACTTATGAAGTTAAGCGTAATAAGTTTGCGGTGAGGACTAAGGATTCGTGCGAGGTTCATCTTGTGCCATACAGTGAACATTCAAATTATGATGAACTCAGAGAGTATGTGAAGCTTTTGAGACCTAAACGTGTTATTCCTACAGTTGGTGTGGATGTTGAGAACCTTGACAGCAAACAAGTTCATAAAATGCAAAAACATTTTGCAGGGTTAGTTGATGAGACTGCCAACAAGAAAGATTTCTTGATGAATTTCCTTCGTGGTTCTACTGAGAGTGAAAAAGGTTTTGAAACTGATGGTTTATCTTTGTTGAATGAGGAAGGACAGCTAGATGTGGAGCCTTCTGATCCTATAGCTGTTGAAATTGCAGTTCCGCTATCCATTTCAAATACCTTGGAAAATCAGAAAGGGTCTGATTCACTAGATGTAGCTGTGCTAACTGAAGAGGAAACACAGAGACTAATAAAGGAATTGAGTGACTGTTTGCCTGTATGGGTTACCCATGACCAAATGTTACATTTGCTTGGCAGATCAGGGAGAAATATAGTTGAAGCTGTTTCCAATTTCTATGAGTGTGAAACAGAATTCCATGAGCAGGTAGTTTCTAGCAAGGCTTCCGTCTCTTCGTCCCAGACTGATACACAGAATTCACCTGATGTACTTCTAACGCCTGAGTCCACCTGCAACACAATTAACCGAGGGAGTTCAGTCATTGCTTTCAGTCAAAAATTCAAGCCATCTAATGTGAAGTCATTAAGTAGTGGCTCGTCACCTGGAAAAAGGAAGAGGAAAATGGATGTCAAGGCCGGGAAAAAAGCTAAAAGTACTTCTAATGTCCAATCTAGTGGTTCAAAGCAATCCACCATCACTAGATTCTTTAGTAAAAGTTTGCCTAATACTTCTGAAGACAGTATGAAACAAACAATTTCTGAAGAAGTCCCTGGAAACGGGAACTTGTTGGTTGATGATGCTCCAAACTTGTATGGACAGGAGGTAGGCCAGTTTGTTCAGATAACTGGTGTTGATGAATCATTTAGAAGCTATGCTGCCACCATTCTGGAGAGGACTAAGGGGGACATTAATAAGGCATTGGATATACATTATGGTAAACCTGAGAGTATTCCTGGTAAGGATGTTGAGACGTTGGCAGTGTCTGACAAATTGGTTCAGCCCCAGAGTGTTACTAATGAGCGGTCTTATGCCCAGGGTAACAAGTCGCTGCAAGAAGCAGGAGTCGGATTTACTCTATCAGTAAAGGAACCAGCAGTACCATGTTCAGATGCTACTCTTATGTCACTTCCCCCAGAAAAATATGACCCCATAAAGCATGGTTTGCCCCTTCATCTATAGCAGATTGGGAAAAAGTCCTCTTAACTTTTTGTTAGCCGAAGCTGATGCTTAATGTTGACATACATTTCTGCAGCTTGCTGGAATGTTGGCCAACCTGTGCCATATATTCACCTTGCACGAACCTTTGATTTGGTTGAAGCTGAAAAGGGGAAGATTAAGGCCACTTCTATGCTGTGTAATATGTTCAGAAGGCGGGTGCCCATTTGCCTATATCTACCTTCTCAATCTAGTTACCTCTGTTGTTTGCTGATACGGTTAACTTCCTTGGCAATTTCTTTTTGGTTATGCAGTATACTGGCTTTGTCTCCCGATGATCTGTTGGCTGCTGTCTATCTTTGCACTGACAAAATTGCCGCTGACCATGAAAATGTGGTTAGTTTGGTTATTTGTTTTCATATTTTAAACAAATTTACGTCCTTTCCATCTGTTGCTTTTAAGACAGTTATATCTCTTTGTTATCCTCTGTATACTTATCATAATTGTTGTCTGTCAAAAGCTGTATGGATTGATAATCCATAGGATTTGGAGAAGTATGATAGTGTATGGACACTAGTAGAAGTGTCTTGATGATATGAACTTTTCTTCCTCTATAATTTGTCGCTGAGTGGACTCCGCTTTTGGTCCCTTTAATTCAGCAGTAATTTTCCCTTAGTTACCTATGAACTAAAACTTTAACTTGCTTTTGACATACTAATAGGCCATTTGTTTTAATTTCTAATGCATATTACAATTGAGTTTGCTTTGGTGCAGGAATTAAATATTGGGGGCAGCTTGGTCACGTCTGCATTAACAGAGGCATGTGGACCTAGTGCATCTGAAATAAGGGAGATGTATAATAACGTTGGGGATCTTGGTAAGCCATATTGATTTTTGCATATCTGTTCACTCAATACAGGGTCTTTCATTATTTGCTGGTTAGTCTGCTGTGGGGTAATTAGTGTCTGTTTTCTGAAGGTGATGTGGCTCAGAGATGCTGGCAAACAAAAAAGAGACAGAAACTACTTGCTCCTACTTCTCCCCTTCTTATTCGAGATGTTTTTTCTAGTCTTCACAAGATAAGGTATGACTCGTGAAATACAGTATTGTTCATTATAGATCAATATTGTCGAGGCATTCAACTCACTGGCTGTCACTACTAGTTTCTTCGGACACAGGTTCTGATGCGATGATGCTCATTATGGGTACAGTTCTATCTTTAGATGACAAAAGAATGCAATAGTGGCAGAGCCATTTTTATGCTTGTCTTACACTTAGGGGAGGTCTCCAAATTATGGAGTTTGGATGATCAGCTGTAGCTTCTTCTACTACTTTACCACACCCCTACGCAATTGTTAAGGACAAAAAAGTAGCATGTGACATGTTTGACCTTGTAGTGAATTACTATAGTTTATACACGACTTAGTCTTTGATGAGGTGAAAAGTAGCATGCGACATGTTTGACCTTGTAGTTAATTACTATAGTTCATACACGACTTAGTCTTTGATGAGGTGAAATGCAGTTCATTATATGTTGGCTAAAGATAATATGTTCAGTGTGATTGTTTGCTTGAATTGGATGAATGTGCCTTATGTTGCTTTCATTTATGTTTGTGCCCTACCTACACGTTTCCGTATTTAGTTGTTCCCTTTTGGCGAGTATTGTTCTTTGTTGTCTATCTGTCTACCACTGACTTTAACCTGTTATTCTTTTCCCCCTTACTTGCTATTGTTCTCATCAGTTCACAAACAGGCAGTAAAAGTACTGGTCGAAAGAAGAGCCTCATTGTGAATTTGATGTGCGCTTGCCAGGAGAAAGAAATGAAGTTTCTTGTGAGAACTTTGGTGAGATGTTTTAGCTGATTCTTGGATGCATCTAGGTTTTGTTATACAGGGGGGGGGGGGGTATTTTTATGTTTTTCTCTTTCTTTCTGGAATCATTTGGACTTGGATAGATCGAGATTACTATATGATTTGGATGCTTATACTGAACTGGATCATCAACTATGTTATCTTTTGTGGAGAATATATGTTTATTGTAAGTTCTGTAATAGGTAAGGAACTTACGTATTGGAGCAATGATGAAAACTATACTACCTGCTCTGGCCCAAGCAGTTGCAATGAATTCCTTCCCTAGATCCTCAGACAAACATAGTGCTTCACACATAAAAGAGATCCTTCAGGTAAACCTAATGCTCTTTATCCTAATTTTTCAGTTGACTTGCTTGACTTCCAGAAGCTGTATTCTCACCCTGCTCATTCTTTAGGGCCTTTCTACAGCAGTAGTTGAAGCTTATAATATACTTCCTAACCTGGTAATTGTCTACTATGTTCCATTGAACTCGTTGTGCTTTTGGGATTTTAGTGCCGCTAAATGGTTTCTCAAACATATCATGTAAATGTAACAGGACATGCTAGTTCCTTCACTCGTCAAGAATAGCATTGGCTTTTCCTCGTCTACTTTGTCTATGGATCCTGGGATACCTATTAAACCCATGCTCGCCAAGTATTGAATTTTGCCATCTCTTTGTGTATGTGATATGTGTTAAAAACCCGTTGCCGGAAATGATAGCTGAAGCCTTTCATGATGCAGAATTACAAATGGAGTTTCTCAAGTGCTCAAGTTATTTGAAAATAAAGCATTTTCATGCGAATTCAAGTAAGTGATCTTGAAGAGTTTCTTTTCCAGTGCTGTTCCTCAATCTGTTTGTTTGACATGATTGGTCTCTGTGCTGACAATCATTGAGGTCTTTCAAGGTGAAATTTGATAGCTAGGTCAATATATCAACATGCAATGCAATTTAGGCATGCATTTTTCCTTCGGACTCATTTCTACTACCACATCCATCAGGCTGCTGTTGGAAATTATTCCTTATCAGTGAATACTGAACAGAAAAATGTTAAATGGTTGTTACGCTATTCCAATCACATCAGAGGATAAGATCCAAGTAGCTTGCAGCTGGGTAAGGATAATTGGTTACCTTAAGGGCATGGATGAAAATATGATTGATTCAGAGCCAGGATGGTCAGACTCTGCAGGTCAAGTGGCTTAAAAGCGGTACATGAGGGGTGGAGCTGGATCAACAACACCTCTGGATAGTTCAATGATAAATTGTTACCTTCCACATGCAGCCTAAGCTGTTAAGTGAATCCTGCTACAGCCTTACTGTTATCATATGGCTTTTCATAGAAGTCGAGCTACTTGCTTCGCTATTCCAGGCGATCTTTTTGACTATCATTGTATAATCCACTCTCCATGTTCTCAACCGCAGACCACTCATTGAGGCATCTTGCTTGGGGTTACTTGTCAATATGATTACAGAATGAGGTGGAGACACCGCTAGTAATTGTGCTTTATAATTTCAGGTATGATGGTCAACGTGCTCAAATTCACAGACTATCCAATGGAACTATCCGTGTCTTTTCACGAAATGGAGATGAAACGACATCAAAATTTCCAGATCTAATCAATATTGTGGATGAATCCTGTAATCGAACAGAGGATACTTTCATAATTGATGCAGAGGTAAGATTTGATTATTTCAAGGAAGAGTGAATTTAGTAGCACAATTGAGAACTTCGGTCTCATGTTGTTTAGAAAAGATTTAACTCAATGCCAGTTTGCACTCTCTGTTCTGTATGGAAGTTGTTCATGTTTCTACTAAAAACAGGAGGTTACAAGCATCGTATTGTCCTGTTGTGTGCTTCATGTAATGTTTGGTTGTTAAGGAGTTCAGTTTCATCCTTCTGTTCCCTTTTAGATGTGTTGGCAGGTATTGCATTGAAATTGGAGATTTTTGGAGTTATGTTTGAAACTCTTATATACCATGAGTAATATTAGAAGCTAGCTAATGTTTTGGCCGGGAAGTATGCTGGTGGAGTGAGTAGCTTTGTTTGTGTTGCGGCACTGGTTAGGAACTGTTCGTGAACCAGACAACGGTTTGCTGGCTAAGCTATTTCTTCATGTTTCACTTCAGGTTGTTGCAGTTGATAGGAAAAATGGATGCAAGCTCATGTCCTTCCAAGAACTGTCTTCTAGAGAAAGGGGGAGCAAAGAATCCTCAATTACATTGGATAGTATTAAGGTTGCTCTATTCTCGGTTCGGATATCCAGTTGTTAATGCATACCAATTGGTCATCAAGATACATGTGAACATGATTGTTTATAGTTACTTTCTGGCGATTGATGTATACCCTGTAAACGCAGTTTCTGTATTCATGCAGGTGGAGATCTGCGTGTTTGTCTTCGACATCATGTTTGCTAATGGAGAACAGTAAGTTTCTGAACCTTCTATCACCTATAAATTGTTTCCTTGCTTAATTGTCATGCAGAACAATTCACAAATGTCAACTTATTAATTGGTATTGTCAATGTTCATAGGTTCTGGTTAGGCTCTATAATGAATACTCTCACTATCATATATTAATTGCCCAATTACTTTAAGCTTTAACTTCACTCATTTATATAAAAAAGGAGCCTGCATCTTGGTTCCCTTTCTAACGATGCTTCTTGATTTCAGGCTGTTGAAATTTCCTCTGCGTCAAAGGCGGAAATGTATGTATGTGCTTTCATGTCCTGCATTGTCACACTGCTTGTATTTCTCTTTCGTATTTGATAAGTTATGTTTCTAATCGTTGGTATTGATAACTGGTTTCTGATTTGACACTAGACTTGAGAGATTTATTTCCTGATGAGAGGCCAGGTTATTTTCGATATGCAGAAGAAATGACGGTATGAGATAAATATGGTAGTAGTTTAAGCCAAATAGGAAGCTTCAAATCTCATACTTGGTTTTGAATATTGATTCCTAGGTTGAGCCAAATGATGCTTGTTTGGGCAATGAATCAATCTTAAACAGGATGAACACTTTCCTTGAAGATGCATGGCAATGTTCGTGTGAAGGAATCATGGTGAAAACTCTAGATGTCGATGCTGGATATTCTCCATCAAAACGTGCTGACAGCTGGTTGAAGGTAGGCAGTCTCTTATTATTTTACATGAGGTGGTCTTAGATGGTCTACTGAGGCTACCTTCATTACGTGGAGATCACCATTCCAGGACATTGATATCTACTTGACCTTTTTACTTTGGCGAACTAGATTCAAATGCATCCTTACCATTCATTCATAACCAGCAGGGCTTTAGAGAGCCCTAGGAAACAATGTCCAGGAATTTCACTTTTAATTGTACAGTAAGGTCACTGATGTGTGACATGCTGGCATAATTTCCTTTTGTAGGTGAAACGGGATTATGTGGAAGGTTTGGGTGACTCACTTGATTTAGTACCGATTGGTGCTTGGCATGGAAACGGAAGGAAAGCAGGATGGTAATGAGTGATAGCCTTGATTTGTTTGCTTGGCAATGGTCTGTTTTCTGGGGTTTTTTTTTTTTATTTCCCTAATATTAGAGGTACATCATCTTTCTCAGGTATATGTCCCGTACTGTTTTAGTAATAAGAAATTAATCACAAAAAAGTTCCATTCATCATCTTCATCTTATTGATTTTTGGTGCACATCGAGACGCAAGTCAGCAGAATATAGTGAGGACAAAAATGAATGAATGATACCCTATTAGTGTTTAAGGAACTGGTGTCATTCTGGAAATGAAGGAACTTTTGCTGCTATGTCTGCTCAATATTTTTCTAGGCATCCAATGACACAGCTGGATTGTGCATGCAACTGCAGGTACAGTCCATTCCTCATGGCGTGCTACAACCCTGAGACTGAAGAGTTCCAATCCGTTTGCCGTGTCATGTCTGGTTTCTCAGATGCCTTCTACAAAGAGGTATAGTATGGATTCCTATATTCTCTTTTACTTGTTTATTGTGACTGAAGCATCATTGTACATTGTCATCGAGTCTAATATCCATAATTCATAATAGATATTGATCCTTAACATAAGAGAGCAACGTAACTGAATTGCTAGTCTTTTACAGTAAAATGCTAGAAAATTGCAGGCAATGCAAAGTCCCACCAGAAACTCTTATTATTTCAGAAGTCAGCATCGTAGTTCCTTGTACTAGGTTAGTCTATTTTGCAAAGTATGAATCTAGTTTGTAAGTAATTGCACAATGTGGTGGGGTTGGTTGCAGATGAAAGAGTTCTTTACCGGCGATAGAACACTAACCAAAAAGCCACCGTATTATCGAACCCTGGAAGTGCCGGACATGTGGTTTTCAGCAGAGCTTGTATGGGAAATCAGAGGTGCTGACCTGACAATATCCCCAGTTCATCAAGCCGGGGTAGGTTTGGTTCATCAGGCGCGCGGCATCTCAATCAGGTTCCCTAGATTCGTCCGATCAGTGGGGGATAGGAACCCAGAAGACTGTAGTAGTGCTGCTGATATCGCTCGGATGTTCAATGCTCAACCGCGCAAAATGGACTTGACTAGTGGGAGTTAGATTGTGTATCATCTTCCAACTTGTACAGTAGAAATGTTCTTCTCTGGCTTTGTGGTTATCCTTTTGTGTTTTGGATCCTGATCTGAAACCAGGATGTCAGCATTGTGAAGCTGGCACGAGAAGTCGTCGGAGTTCAGGAGTTGATTGTAGAAGGATCTGCGTTTAGTCTCTGTGTAGTCTTCGGGTTAAGAAGCATGTATTAAGCAGTCCAGTGAATCTGTAATGTGTGGTGTTCAGGTCTGTTTGTACTTTACGCCTTGCGGATTACGGTGATGCCTCGAGCAACAATTTCGATTAAATAGCACGGTTTCTTGTTTATGTCTGGTTCATCCAAAGAACATGTCAAATTAAAAATCAACTATACAACTACTTATGTATACAAATTCAAATCTTAATTCATTTGAATATTTTTTTACTACCAAGTACCAACAAGAATTGCATCAATGGCTGCTCCGCTAAGGCCTGAACCTTTGATTTTGCGGCAACCATTGCGCTCTCCTATAAGTACTGGTTTATTTACGAGTATGTTTGTTGTATTTATAAATACTAAATATGCTTAAAAGATAAAATTGCGTTCTTTAGAGAAATTACCGTATAATTGAAATATTGGATCACCTATTACTCATAATATTGTGTCAAAATTATGTTCAAACCAATCTAATTTGAAGTTTATCAAATTACGTTCGAGGTGAATTATTCAGTCGAAAAGATGTTCGAACCTATCTACTTTGAGTTTATCGGATTATATTTGGTTGATGTAAAAAAAAAAAAGATTATATTTGGTTTGATTTTCGGCAACCATTTTGATCATCCCTAATTAGCCTCACTGTCAATTACTTTTCTCTTTGAAAAGGGAAGCCTGCAAAATGCTAATTAGTAATTATTAATTACTATGCTTCGGGGACTGCACTATTTGAAACCGCTTCGTGTTTAGAATAGTTTTCCCACATCAGCCCTAGATGTCTGTGAAATTTCCCCCTTTCTCTTCCCGCTCCCCATTTTTCCAATTCTCCCGCCATTTGCAATCCTCCCACCATTTTCCTCTCGCTTCCTTTTAACACCCTCGCGAACACCTTCATTCCCCTGCAGAAAACCCTAAACCCCCCCAATTCCAATTGTTTCCCCAGCCCGTTACGATTCCCAATTTCGCCTTCTCCTTCATCCGCTCGCTTTCAATGCCCGGAATTTGATCCCTTCTTCCCCTACAGCTGCGACCAGTTTCTAGGGTTTCCTATTCCGGGTAGTTAAGGAAGCTTTTGTAGATGAATATTCGGTAGCGGCGAAGTTTGTAATTGGATTATAGGCTGTGGTGGGACGATGAGCGCTGTGAACATCACCAACGTCGCTGTCTTGGATAATCCTGCCCCCTTCTCTTCGCCTTTTCAGTTCGAGATCTCCTACGAGTGCTTGACTCCTCTTAAAGATGGTACGCTTCCTCTCCCTCTCTATCTCTCCACCTCCCCTACTCTTTTCCTCTTCCGCAATGTTAACCTGGTTAGTCCAATTTCGTGATTTCGTCCCGTTGTTTGCTTCTAAACCTGAGTGCGAGTTAGGATTTTTAAGGGTTTATTGTAAGATTGGTGGAGGTCATTTCAACCTTGTCTTTGTTTTGATCATGGAATGTCTTGGTACGAGATTGTAAGATTGGCATAAATGTTTAGTTGACGATTGATATACCACCTAGTTCTATTTGATTTTAATTCTGACTGAAGTGTGTTCTTTTTCATTTTAAGTGACTTGCTATGACTGGGCAATGGTGTTATATGAGCTTTCTCATACCCCAGTGTCGGTGTGCTATGCCTATGCACAATTCATAAGTTACGAATGAATGCATCAGCTGATCTATCCGTTTCTTTCAATTGACCTTAATCGATTAACTTTGATATGGTGTTCATCTTTCTGCTACCCATGTCATCATCTGTGTACTGTTTAAAAGGTACATTGCTGTTAATGAAATGGAATTTAATTGGTGCCTATTGGGTTTCAATTGATTACGCAGATGTTTAAATTTGGATGTGAGTATCTAGCTTTCTGTTTCAGTTAATAACACATATTAATCGAACTCTATGTGTCTGTGTATATCCTTATCTCTACTCATTAATGTGTGAAGCCGATGAAACTCAAATGACTCCTTGTGCTTGTAGAGGATCTTTTCCATGATAGATTGGTAATTTCATAGATAAAGCTATACTTCTGTTACTTGTTTGGTTCTCTTAAATGCTCAACATCCCAATATCGAGCACTTAAGTAATGGGACCATTGAGTATTAAATTGTTAATGGAATGATAAAATTTTCTAACCCGTGGCTTAAATGAGAGTGAAGTATGACTTAGTATCAGGTGTATTGATTGGGATATGGCTATGGTTTCTTTTATTGGTTGAAATCACTGCTGTTTTGGTTTTTGAATCACATGGTACTTTTTAGATTTATATGTCATGGTTAGGTTTATTGAGGGTGGGTAGCTACTAGGTAGGTAGTCTTGTTCCGGCCAAATCAATTCATTCTCTGATGTTGATTAGTCGTGCTGCTATATGGAGTTGGAGATATATGGTTTTGATAGGGGGCTATGCTCACTTTTTTAGTATCATTGCCGTGTATTATGTTTCACCCAAGTACAACAACCAACCTTCTGATGAAGATAATGCACTAGAGGATACCTCTCGGAAATAAGATCCATAGTTTCCAGAATGATGGACTCATGGAACATTGTACTCTATCAGATTTTCCCCGGATTGGCTGTGCTTGTAGGCATGAATATTGCACCATAGAACAAATTAACTGTTATATCCGAAGTAGTGTTGCTGCCCTCGTTATGCTTGATGATCCAGAATAGCATCTTTGTGTTATCTGACTGCTATATCCAGGTTTTTTCGTTCTACCTCTTTATCTAAATTACACCATACTTCACATCAAAATGCAGATCTGGAATGGAAGCTAACCTATGTGGGGTCTGCTGAGGATGAAACATACGATCAACTACTAGAGAGTGTACTTGTGGGACCAGTCAATGTTGGGAACTATCGCTTTGTCTTGCAGGTAAGTGTGACCTATTTTCCTTTTCTCTGTTTCACAAAAACAGTATCTTGATATTCTCTTGCTTGGATGATACTTTTATCAGGCTGATCCTCCTGACCCAACCAGAATTCGGGAGGAAGACATCATAGGGGTGACAGTGCTTTTGCTGACCTGCTCTTATGTGGGTCAGGAGTTTGTTCGAGTTGGCTACTATGTGAACAATGACTATGAAGATGAGCAGCTAAGAGAGGAACCTCCACCTAAGGTGTTGCTCGATAAGGTTCAGAGAAACATCTTGTCTGACAAACCTCGTGTGACGAAATTCCCCATCAACTTCTATCCTGAAAATGGAGAAGGTGCTGCTGAGGAACAGCAGCCTGCAAATGATCAACCCATTGAGGATCAAAATGATCAAGCCATTGAAACAGAAGCAACTGATGAACCGCCACTTCCATCATCTCCTGATCACTCTGCAGAGAAGGAGGAACCATAAGCTGTCGTCTTCAGATAAAAGTTGTATTTTTTCCTGTCTAGGGCTTACTCGATGGCTTTTGGCCAGATACTTTCCTGAATATCTACAGAGAAGCGTCTCCTTTCATTTTGACAGGAAGTTAGAAGGGTGATATGGGCGGGTTTGGTTGACTCATTTTGTATGGTGAACAGTCAAGTCGCTCAGTTGTGTCCTAGTAGGTTAATGGAACCGTCTTAGTTTCTCGCAGCTGAAAAGATGAATCCTACTACCAAGTTTTTTGGTTTCTCCTTCTCAGTCAGCAGTACCAGGCTGTTGCTCAAGAGATCCGCTTTGCCGGAATGGCATCCTCAAAGTCAAGGCTATTGGTAGTATTAGAATTTCTGGCACCATTATCAAAATCGTGCTTTCTTTAAAAGCTTATGCTTTTTACACTTCTAAGTTATCATAATACTTTTATGTAAAATTGTGTTTTTTAACCTTGAACTAGCTTACTATCTGGACGGAGAATTGACTCTCCAGTGATCACGTTGACGTACCACAATTCACTTAAACTAGCGTACTATCTGGACAGAGAATTGACTCCCCAGTGACACGTTGACGTACCACAATTCGTATTACCTTAACCAATGGAAGATCTACAATAAGAGGGCACCAACCACACTTGCTAAATGTGGATGGCCATCCCTCTAATGATACATGATTTAGTTGGGGAATGATTTCAAATCGGGATTCCAAGTTCCGACATATCTCTATATAGACTACGAATTAAATCGAGTTTGGGGTATGATACCATATCTTAATCTCTAATAGATAAATCTCAGGTTTGATTTTCTTAATCCAAACTCGAAGTTCAACTTAATAGAAAACAATAATTCATTGTTCAAATTTGTCGGAGCACATCGAAGTACAACTAATAGTCAGATCACCTGGAGTATACTTGTTTTTTTACCGAAAATTAGATTACAAATACCGATTGGCATACCGACAATACCGATCGACATACCAACAATACTGATTGAAATACCAAATTTTTTAGAGATTAAAAAATCTAAATTTGATATTGATTTTAGAATGTAATTCAGGTTCTCTCTATCAGGTATCGGGATAGTACCTATTTCCAACGCTAGTAAGTTCTAATGGAACCTAACGGGTCATGTGGGTCATAACTCATAAGGACCCTGGTGTTTAGGCTAGCCCAGCCCAATTCGTTGATTAAAAAAGAAAAAGAGAAAACGAACAAACGACACTTCTGATTTCAGAACCCAGAAGAAAGTAATGAGAACGAATCGTGGATTTTGACGAGTCAAAATCTTGTTTCCCCAGAAATACTCGGTACTTTCTCTTCTTCACCCACTCTGCCGCGAAAGCTACCAAAATCCCGTCGTCGATTTTAAAAATCTTCCCCCGACCCCCAGTATTTAGGGTTTTGCGTATGGCCGGAATACGTATGCCGCCGGAAGAATCCGACATCTCTCAGCAGCAAATCCGAGCTGCATCGGCCGTCGCCACTGATCTGGTCTCCGACGACGACAGGTCCGTTGCCGCCGACTCTTGGTCCATTAAGAGCGACTATGGAAGCACCCTCGACGACGAGCAGCGCCATGCCGATGCGACCGATGCTCTCTGCGCATCCAACTTCCGTGCGGCCTCAGATTACAGGTATCCCTCCCTCTGGATTTGTCTTCGATTTTGCGCTCCACGACTGTGAGAATATTTCTAGTCTGTCCTACGCTTGCTTTGATCTCCTTTGATATATGATTGTACTATAGATGGTTCTGCATTGTGATTTTGCGCACTGTGTTGGCTTGCGATTCGTCAGCGTTTCGAACGAGACCTAGAACTTTGTCAGTAAATCTTCAATGTGAGAGTATATTTGCAAGTTGTTCAGTTTTAAAGGCAATGGTACGTTTTGCGTATAAGCCGTATATATAGCATAAAAGAATGGAAACTAAAAATGTCTGAAGGTTGCTGCTTAGAATTAGTTTGATGGGGATTCTATCATCACTACTGGAATTAGAATTGAGATGCTTAAAAAGCACGCTTAGATAAAATGAGATCAGGGCTTAACCTTTGTATTTGTGTCACTTTTGCTTGACTTTGAATATCTTGGGATGATCTCAGAGCTTCGGCCTGCAGTAATTGAAACTTTTACCCCTTTTTCGTGTGCAGTTCTGACAAGGAAGAGCCAGATGCTGAAGTTGTGACATCAACGCTTGGTCTTCAGAGTTACTGGGATTCTGCGTATGCAGACGAGTTATCAAATTTCCGCGAACATGGCCATGCTGGTGAAGTATGGTAAGCAGTTATCTGTGCATATAGAATTATAGATATTTAATAAGGTCAGCCATTTACTTTTTTTATGAAGAAGGTTAGCCTTTTATTATTGTTGGCTTGGTTGAAATTTGAGATGGTATCTATTATTCAATTGAGCGACATAACTTGACCCTAAGGTAGTGTCTTGGATTTTTTTTATTAACGGAAATGCAATTTGAGTCTGTATACTTGTTCATGTGGTGGAATATATGGCACTAATGACTCTCTTGTTACTTTAAATTTTGATACACATGTAGGTTTGGGGGTGATGTCATGGATGTTGTTGCTTCTTGGACGAAAAGCTTGTGCAATGACATCTCCCAGGGTCACAGCACAAACCATGTTAACGATACCAAATCTTCATCTGTTGAAGATGGTGATAAGCATTTGTCTACTTGGAGTGTGCTTGACATTGGGACTGGCAATGGTTTGCTCCTCCAGGAACTCGCTAAGCAGGGGTACTCTTTGAGATTTTGCTTGTAGTTCTGGTGTTACTGAAATGAGGGTGTCATATATGATAATGTTGGCATAAAACTATTTAAGTTTTAAGTACTCGAGATATACCGGTTGGTACTAAACAAGAAATAGATGCTCAAATTTGTGGAACCGATCTAGAGCCATAATAGATTTCACATCAAATGCGTTGGTCTAGTTAGGAGGTTAAAAAAAAATGTTAGCTCTGATTGAATGAGGTGGGTCATTTAAGTTTCAATGCCAATTATGGAGCTTTTGCATTACAGAGACTGTCCTTCAATATCGTAGTGGAATAAGGTAGGCATACGAAAAAAATGTTTGATACAAAATAATTGATTCATTAGGCTTCTCGGTCTTCAAGGTTTTAGGTAAAGAAATTAGGTTTGCTTGGCTGTTAGACGAGGAGTGAAGTGGGGCCTTTATACAGAGGGATTAAGTACTACATTACATATCGCTGCAACCACTGCTTTCTTCTCCTATGAAAAAAGATAAAAATAAAAATCCATTACTTCCTTCAGTAACTATTTGGAGTATGGGCGTGTGATTTCTCATGTAAGAACAGCTGTTTTTCTTGTCTGTTTCTCTGAGAAGCTGTTTGCTTACTCTCTAAGTTTCTTAAGATAGGAATATATGTTCAACCAGAGTAACAAATCAAAAGTTGTGTTTGCATCTTATGTTCTCAGGTTCTCTGATTTAACTGGGGTTGATTATAGTGAGGGGGCAATCGAACTTGCACGAAATCTGGCTGATCGTGATGGGTTTTCCTATATCAATTTCCTGGTACGTCAAGCATGTTAGTTACCTTTGGTTATGATCTGGAAATTACATACATCACTTCATGTGTGATATGTTTGCGCAAGCAAATTGGATCCTACTTTCTTTTTCGTTGGCAGAATGTAAAGTGGGAAATATATGTCAGACAGTTTTCCGGTTTTGATTTCTTTTTCAAAATTGTATTTTCCATCTTTATACTTGTGGTAACATGATTACTTTGTATAGCTCTGTTTTCATTGGGTTCATCCAAGAAAGATTAAGCAGCTTATACATAAAGAACTGGTCTTACGTAATCATTTTTGCTTTCTTTATTGCACTGTATTTGGTGTTGTTCTCATGTTTCCTCCTGATATTGATGGGAAACATGTCCAGTTAGCTAAATGATTAGTAAATTGCATATTTCGATATGCTGGCGATGAAGACATGATTTCTTAGAAATCTTCCCTTCTTCATTGGCATATTTTAAACTGAAGAGTATGGATCTGAGCTAGTTCCTAAGGGAGCATATATCTTTATATTTTGCTGAGAAATCTTGTGATTTGGAGATAACTGCTTTCATGTGCATTGGTTCTCTCCGTGGAGATATTCTAACTGATACAGGAAGCGATTCATGACTGTTGTATTTGCACAGTTTTCCCTGTTGATATATAAATGGATCTCAAATGTTAACCTATCATGTCCAAACCTAAAATTCAAGTTGTTGCTGAAAATACTTCGTGATTCCCCATCAGGGAAACCTCTTCGTCCTTCATGTATGAATTGGCCTCAATGCAAACTTTTGCTTCCATGAAATGATCCTCACACACACATGCACAGGCAAGGAGGCTTGGTTTTTTTACTGTGAATGCTGAGTAGATGCTCTTATAGCTAATTTAATTTCAAGGCGGTAGAAGATTTTCAGTGCAGCTCCAGTTGAACTAGTTGGCGGTTACACTATGCCTTAGTGATCAGGCTGCTCATAAGCTGAACATGCCAATTACTTAGATATTTGAATGTTCCTTTTCCCCCTGTTCAGATCTCTGAGCTTCCAACATCCTCTAGTAGGAGAAATTGTTATTGCCAAATCGTATTTTTTGGTTTGAATTTCAAATTGCTGCTTATGTACGTGTTTTCTCAACCAGGGCAATGCATGCATATTCTCTATTGTTTGAAAACTACTTGTGGATGGTTTTTTGAATTCCCTGAGGTCCCTAATTGTTTTGCTCTTAGGTCGATGATGTCCTGGAAACAAAGTTAGAGAGGCAGTTTCGTGTTGTCATTGATAAAGGGACATTAGACGCGATCGGATTGCATCCAGATGGCCCGATAAAGAGGTCAGGAATTGATCCTCACCATTCTATTGGAATCTTTCACAGTTGTCTTGAAGGAAATTCGTTATTTCATTCCGTGGCAGTCAACAGACTTTCCACTTTCTCCCAGAAAATTTCAGGTGCTGATCTCGATTCTTTTCCTTGGGATTTTCATTCAGGGTCATGTACTGGGACTCGGTGTCAAAGCTGGTTGCTTCTGGTGGTCTGTTGGTGAGCCTCCCATTCTTCTCTTTTCTCTATTCCCCATCGGCGGTGGCCTCAGCCAGCTAGCCATGTTTCTTTCGGCTTGTCCAGAAAAAAGAGAAGGAAAGGTACTGAAACTTGAGGCTCAAACTTGCCTATTGATGATTCTTTTGATGGCAGGTCATTACCTCATGTAACAACACCAAAGATGAATTGATGCAAGAAGTGGAGAACTTCAATCAAAGGAGAGGGGAAACATCTCCAGAGAAGGAGCAGGAAGCAGCAGCTGCTTGCCAATTCCGATACGTGGATCACGTTCGAACGTATCCTACGTTCATGTTTGGTGGATCGGTGGGATCGAGGGTTGCCACAGTGGCATTCGTCCGAAGCTGAAGCTGAAGCTTCTTCTTCGTCTTCCTGTTCTGTGCTGGACTTGGTACTAGTGGGTAACGTTATATATAGGTTTTGGGGGATTAGGGCAACTGCAGCGTTGTTGCATGACTTAACTGCCTTTGACTGAGGAAATCTGGGGGGCTTTTGTTTCGCCGTTTCTGGAAGATCATGTAATACAATTACTGTACTTGACGTTACTGTATTTGACGTGGTGGTTGGTGGTGGTGATTTAATTAATTTGCAGTAGAGAGTTTTTCTTTTTTGTGTTTGTTCATACCTATGGTTTTGATTTGGCTGGCTGTTATTTCCTTACTGGGTTTTTTTTTTTTTTTTTTTTATCTTAGCAGCCCAATCTGACCCAGTCATCTCAAGACACTAACCTTAGCAGCCATCCCATCGAGTTCTGTTTGCATAATTTAATATCCACTCTGATCTAGTGATGGCAATGGGGCCCGTTTCGCACCAAGTGTGAGTCGGGCAGGTACGTCGACAAAACTTTGACATTTGACACCTATGTCGGTGTAGATTTCTGCAAACAGAGATGACTTCGATATTCTCAGTTGAAAATCAGTGAAACTTATTTCCATAATCTTTACAAAACATTTTGAGTATGAATCTCACTTATTAGTTATTTTACAGTATGGGCTCGAGACTATAAGTTTGTACTCTGCACATTTTGTTATTACAACTTTGGTTTATAAGTTTATATGACTAAACAAATAAATAAAACCTATGTCCATCAACTTCAAGACAATTGGAGCGTGAATACCTCTTATTATACAATTTGGACTCAAGACTAAATTTCATTCACCTGCACGTTTTATCATAACTACACAATTTGCAGGTATATGATTTTGTATGAGTACAAAAATCAATGAAACAAATGTCATCAACATTATAAGATATTTGAAGCACGAATCTCACTTATTGTAAAATTTGGACTCGATACTAAAAGTATGTCCTCTCGCATATTTTGTTATTACGAAACAATTTATCGGTTTATGAGTTTATATAACTAAACAAATAAAAAAAACTCTATTTCTATAAAAATTACATTACATTTGGAGCACGAATCCCTGTAAATGAAGAAAAATTACCTGACAAAATATTTTACTTCCATGAAGGACAAATTACTACCCATGGTTGGTCATATCTTAATAAATATACTGTTAGGGTCGGTAAGCGGTTATCAACCTATCGATGAAATCGATAACTTATAAAGAGTTTTTGGTGGTACGATATTCGATCAGTAGACTACTTTTAACCACTACATGGACTAAAGTTGTGAGTGGTTAGCCACTAACCAAACGGATAGTGATAACCAATTAGGTGTCAATAATGATGTATGATTCACTTTTATCTTATGTGTTTCAAATTGAATTTGAATTATGAATCCACCATGGATTACACATAGAATAGATGTTAATTGCTTATATTTTGCACGTTAAAACTGTAAAATTGTTATTAAAACTTCAGGATTATGATTTTGTATAATTTTTCGGACTACTATGGACTAATTTGTCGCGGCATTAAAATTCGCTTCCACGGTCGCTGGTCAAGGTTATCTCATCTAATCTCATCTACTGCTGCGTCTGCGACTGAGATGATTAATATTAGACAATGCTTAGTCGCCAGTAAGGACAAGTTAACGCTTGGAATGGCATGTTAATCAATAATCATGTGTCTGCAGTGACCTATTTATATATATATACAAGTGTTCTAATGGGTCACATCACATGTGTAAGGTGAGGTTTTGGACCGGCATCGTTAATCGATTTGGATTAAACAAACAATAGAGCTTGTAAGAATTTCACCCGAGGAATAGAGATTAATTAACCCACATATTCAACATGTAAACTCTTGTGGTATTTAGTCGCCCAATATGACTATAATATAGTCTAAATAAGTAGGTTATTGGATTTCCCACATAATATATCGGTGGACGGATGGATTCATGGATTTGGACCAAATAGATTCGTGGATTCATGGATGTGATCAAATTGATTGGTGGATTGAGTTCATATATCTAAGTGACATCTAAACAAGGGACCAACATTAAAATTTTGAAAAGTTAAGGTCTTAAAATGTTTTAGGTGCCAAAATGTAAATTTTCAATTTTCAATGATATTTTTCATTAAACAATAAAGTTTAGATATCAAAGTGTAAATTATAAAAAAAAAAATAGAGGTGTTGAACTGTATTTCTAAACATCCATGAATCCACAAATGCAATTGGATTTGGATTAATTGAATATTTTAGCGTACGGATTGGATCGATGGCTTAGATACAAAATTGTTACCTCTAACCATTACCAGTCACATAACTAATTGAATTCGAGGATCATATTTCACAATTCCTCTAAAAATTTTCGATCATTTTCAATCCATACCTTGTTTTAACCTTCTAATTCAGGGTATATCTTGAATATTCTTTGAATTATGGCTACTGGGCAGTATCAGTAGCCATAAACGCTCGATTGAAGGGAATGAGCGACAAGGGGAAGCAACTTCCTAAATTAGGGTTGCGATTTGTGATTCCAATTGGAGGAAGGACCAAAGGCGTCTAGATTAGTTAGAAGAAGAGATGGTTTCATTTTGGGAAAGGTGGCTGTTTTTTTTTTCTTTCAAATTGGTCCACTTTTCTTTAAGTGTGCTTCCGATTACCTAATCACACCTAAAAGACCTTAATGAGAATTAGGTGTCACCTAGTCCTGCTTCGACGTTATGAATATCTTATTTGTTGCCTAGGACCTAAACAAAGAATTTGTCATTACCTCGAGCCTAGGCATACCTAGACGTATGCGGTATTGTGACGCTTGAACCATGATTTAAATATATATTAGCAATTCAAAATTACACACAATGGTTAATAATTTTTGTGTTTGTGGAGTGATTTTAGAACCTCTTAACCTGTAGTCCATCCACATTGATCGATGTAATTGCAACTCCAAATACACATGTGTGACCCCTACTGCCAATTCAAAAATTTTGCAATTTCATCCTCGAGTTACCTGCAATTTTGTACATCCAACTGATTTTTAATAAAAAAATTTTTTAACAAAGCAAAAGAAAATAAATAGATGGTGGAAAGTTTACATATGTTAGCAAATGGTATAATATACATACTTGATTGGGATCAATTGGTTCTGGATATGGCATCAGAGCCTTCGAAAATCGAGAGGTCTCGTGTTCGAATCTCAACGATCCTCATTTGTTGAGCACATGATATTCGGATATGTGCAAACTTCAATTCCACATGAGTATGATTTTGTTTGAGGGAATATGTTAATAAATAGAGATATAAGATAGAGTTTCAAAACCAAATCAGAGGCTAAATCAATATAGATAATTAAAAAACCAGAAGAATATTATTATTAGAAATGAAACGGCATCACATAAGGACAATTTGGACCAATTCTATGTTTGCCGCGTGAAGACCTTTCCCTTACACAATACTTCCAAATAGGAATAGAAGGGATGTGTATATCACATGCCGCTCACCTTCCTTGTTGTCTTCACCCCATCTGCAACAACACCTGCTGATTATTTGGTTCGAGTTTTTTGGTTTTATCCGAAATCAGATCGTATAACCCGGACCGAAACCGAACCGGGATCAGATAGTAAACAATTCAATCCAATCTTTGGACTTAGATTTGAGGTAAAAAAACCGTTCAGGACCGGATCGAAAACTGGATAAAGACCGCATAAGAGAGCTCAACAACCAAAACTTAAGGGTAATTTACATAAACGGTCACAAACCTTTGCACTTAGTACAAAACTTAACCGCATCCTCACCCTTTCAGGCCTTAGGCCACCCAAATCCCCACAAGCTCAATATAAAATTAAGACCGAATTGGGACTGAACCGGGTGAAGACCAGACCGGATTAAGCCCGGACTGTATCCAATCCAATCTTTGGTCCTTATATTTTCAAAAAAAACCGAACTGGACCGGATCAATTTGGGCCAATTTAACTGAACGGGACCGTATAACCACCCCTATCGCTTCACTTCACCCACAATTTATCCCGGCCATGTAACATTAATCTCAGTTTAAATTAATCACTTAATTACAATAAGTTAATCATCCCTCTCCTGCCTTCAAAATACTTATATAAGTATTCTCCCCCATCTAATCCAACATTCCAAACCACACCTTCCTCTCTCTCTCTCTCTCTATCTTAATCTCAAAATCAAGGAATTAATTAAACCCCACTAATTAACAATGCTTCCTCACATGGCTTCTACTTCTTCCGCAACAAACTCTCCCCTCGCCTCTTTCACCGTCGATTCTCCCAGCTTCCGAAGCCTCCGCCGCGACGCCGCCGCCCCACGCCGCCGGTATCTCACTGTCAGGGCACACAGCAGATTCCCGGACCAAGGTAACCGATTGATATGACTCGCTCAAACTCCTCTCTCTTCGTCGCTATACACATTTCCATTCCCACCACCACAACGAAAAACGACTTTTTGCGACCGAAAACAATAGCCACCAAACTTTTTGCCACCAGAAAAAATAGCCACCAAACTTTTAACCACGACTTTTGTGATTTTTTTTTCCCAATCACATAACATATAATTCTTAACGCGTGCAGGTTCGAGCGACGCCGTGGACGCGAATCTGGGCGTGCTGAGGGACAGGATCGAGGCGGTGCAGATCAAGGAGCGGCTTGAGCTGACGTGTTCCGCCGTTCTCCGGTCGACGTCGTTGCGAATGATGACGAGGTCGCCGCCGCCACCGCCGCCGCAGTCCACGTCGGCGACCTGCAGCCGTGTCGAGCAAAGACGTAATGATATTAATGAGAATTACGGATGGAATTACGGCGGTGATGAACAGCTCGTCATGAAATCGCGGCGGCGGTCGGAGAAGGCGGGGGCGTTTGAATTGGTCTACCAGGTTTTCCGGCTGGCGGCGCTGGTTTCGTCCACCGTCGGAGTGACCTGCCTCTCCGGCACTTGTCTGATTTACCTCGTCTCCATCTTCACTCATCATTTCGGCCATTATTAAATATTAGTACCTCATTTTTTTACTTCGTTCCTTCTGCAACACTTTTCTTTTTTCCTGAACATTTTTTTTTTCAACCCTTTTACTATTTATTGTTAATTAAGTAGTTAACTGTAATTGCGTAGGTTTGCTGTATTTTTCGGGTTAGAAAGGAAAAAAAAAAGACAAAAAAATCGATGGAGATTTGCTGTATTTTTCGTTTCCTTCTGCTGCAAGACTGTTTATTACCAAGTTGCTGGAATGATTTGTAGAGGTACTAGCTGGCTATTATTTATTAATTAAGATTCATTATTGAGGAAGAATAATCCGGTTTCACATTCATCTTATGGGAATGAATGAGTTAGACATTTGTTTATGTGGAAGGACGAACTATGAGAAAATGTAGACGACGTCGATTAAAAAAAAAAAAACGAATCGATTTTATTAAGTCATTAAAAACAATCATCGATGCACTGTATCACTGAGAGAATACAATTGTCGGCACGTTGAATGAATTGCCTTATATATGGCTTTGGAAATGTGCATATCATGGTTCATGTGGATAGCAAAATTGAAGGACATCATAACTCATCTGATCATATTACCGTATAAAAAAAACCTAAATTGTAACGTACATTTGGATCATTTGGAACTGACTTCCTATTGTAGGAATGGATCCAATTAAAATTATTTATCTCATTTCAGTATATCTTGAGTAATGTTTTACACATATGACATAACACTAACCACTATTGTAAACATATGAAATAACTCATTACTCGGAAGAAGAAGAAAAAAGTAAATCACATATTTGTATTGGTTATCGTTGAATTTTTTTATGGGTGTCTTAATAAGAGAAGAGGAAGAAGAACGACGTTGCAATTTACGAGACTCGAAATCAAGATTTTATAGTTTAAATATGATGCCATAATCACTTCTTTGATTACACATTGGGCTACATTTACAAAACCGATTCCTCTGCATTAATCACCATGAAGCATGTATGTGATTTCACAATCAAATAAAGGTAAAGGGATCATTGAATGAAATTCTGCCTCTTGTTTTCAGTATATACTTGGATATGATAATATCATTGCATCACTAATTCACTATTATTATTTTTAATCTTTTTCAGTTTTCACCGCCAACGGTGTGGCTAGTGGCTACATTGAGATCAATGTATATAATTTCTTTTATTTGCACATGATCTTAGGTAAAATACAATATATAATCAATTATTGATGACAATACTTTAGCGTCCGCTACACGTAAGTTTTTAAATATATTAATACTAAACTGTTGCTTAAGGCATCATCAGTTATAATGACTCGCCTGATAAAGAAGAAGAAAGGGCAGAAGAGAAAACCAAATTTCCAACAAGGTCAAAGTAGCTGGGCCTGGGCCACAAAATATTTGCTAAGGGAGGTGAAAAATCCAGATCTGCAAAATCTGGAAAAAAGACTATAATAATGTTATGTTGCCATCTAATGAAGATTTGATGATCAGAAACTCTGTCCTCTATTTCAATAGTTTAATTTACAGATTTTCATAGAAACAATTTAACTATAATATTACGTTGTTAACCTCAAATTAATAATTATAAAAATAGTGTCAAAACAGAAGCGTGCAAACGATTATCCAGATGAACACAAACGGACACGAATTTATCGTGGTTCATTAACACAACGTGTGCTAGCTAATCCACGGGCAGGGGATAACAAATTTCACTAATTTGAGGAGAGTACATTTTACAAACCAAATTCGGAACGGACAAACCAAACAAACTAAACTGACTGACCTTACTATATATTAGGGTGGTTAATAGTATTTATAGAACTCTTCTCCTAATCCAAACAGAAAACCAAACACATTTTCCAACACATACAAGGAAAATGCTAAAACAAAGCTCAAACCCAAACCCAAACAGAATAGGCCTAAAATACAAAAACAAAACCAAATCAAATTCAAGTCATATTCTAACAAATAGAATCAATATATCATTCATCATGAATTCATAATTCAAATTAAAAAATATAAAATTAAAAAAAAAAATCAAACGTTTTCATCAAATTAGCATGTACCACTTAGCTATCCATCAAGCACAAGCACATCAAGATTGTCATCATCCACAAACACCAAAGAAGCAAATACTGGTAATGATTGATATGTTTACTCCGTTTACTTCAAATAGGAGCTTGAGAGGGGTGACTTTGGCTCCCGACTCGCCAAGACATTTGGGATTTTTGATAGAGGATTTTTTGCGACAGGTGAGATTTGGAATGGTTAGAATTGCGACTTTAATTGATCTTAAATCTTAAAAAATTTCTTGTTAATCAAAGACCAAAATAACATAGTTATATTAGTAGGTCGTTATCAGTTTCATTAACACCGTTTAAGGTGCAACGAATTCTTCGAACTCGAACCATGTGCATGGGTGCTCGCTGTAGGATCCCTACAATTGGTGAGTTTTTGCAGTGTAAAACTGGAAACGTGATGTGAGTCAGCCAACGAAGAGACTTCTTAATTCTCGTCTGAAAGAAACATCTCTGCAATTCCTATTCCGGGGCCCCGTTGAAATTCCTTTCCCAATACCCAGTATAAGTAAAGTATGCAGCGTCCTTATTTAACACTATTTTTTGTATTTACTGCCTAGGTATCGTCATTTGATTTCCCATTGCCGTGCAGTGCAGCGCGGTGTGCGGATTCCGCAAGTGACGAACGGACTAACTTATTGAATTTGTGCTCGAGCAAATTAGCATAAACGGTCACAAAAATTTTGTACATGGAACAAAACAGTTATAAATTTTGTAATTTGTAACGAAAAATAGCTTTTGAAAAAGGCATTAGAGATCACTAGCAGTTGTCAGAAAATAGCATTTGAGACAGCTCGTTATGAAGATTTTTTTTTATTGTGACGCTCGTATTTGGAACGGATCGTGACAGCTTCATGACATAGCAAAAGCTCGTTTGCGATTTACTAACGAAAACCTACGGTTTTCCTATGCAGAAGTTTTATATAAGCCGAGTCTGGGAATCTTTGAGGTTTCATAGACCACATGTACAATTAGGGCTGGTAAACAGTTATTTTGTGAGCGGTGTAACAGATAACCGAACCGAAATTGATAGTTAACGGTTAGACCGATAACCCAATGAACAGTAAATGGTTTGTTCCTGATAGTCAAATTTAGCTAATTAGTAACCGACAGTTAACCGAATAACGAATTATGGTCATCCTCATAGTTATAGCCGAAAAATATTAGGCCACGATGAGCCTCATGCATAGACAAAAAATAATGGGATGTTTGAAGACCTACAAGATCCCTTGTCTACCCTAGTTATAATAGTGACTTAGGTTCAAATGAGAATAATGTCAAAGAATGGCTTTAGAAGGAGCATCGTAGAAAGTTGGACTTGTGCACAATATTAGCTCGACAAGAATCAGTAACATTTAAGATTACATGTAATTTGGTGTGATTTATTAGCTGAGTAATTATTGTTGGGTCTCTTATTCTGTCTACTTGTATTTTAATCAAATTTCATGATAGAATTTATTATGTACTTGTGTTGGATTTAGTTGAATATAGATTGATATCTTAAATTATTTTTTATCCAATGATAACAACTTAAAAAAGAACACATACACATATAGAAAAAAATCTACAAAATGCATAATTAAAAAAAAAGGAGGAGGTCTTTTATTCGTTAGGTTACTGATAAGTTATTTTGGTTTAACCTTACTGAACCATATTTTTAACGGTTACTTGGTCAACCATTTTTTTAACCGAGAGCCGAGTATACGATTATAGTTAACCGACTAATATAAACAGTGCGGCTAATGGTAAGCACAATGTAGTTAACCGGTTAACTGAGGACCAACTAAATAATTCTGATTATAATTGAACCAAACCGATTGCCAGCAGTTAGTAAAATGGTATAAGGTGCTGTGAGGAAAGTGTGCGCTCTGTAATCTTGAACTATGAACAAGCTATTTGAATGGGGATTTGGGGACTCAGATAAGTGTGCGCTCTGTAATCTTGCATGTGAAACAAAGGACCATATCTTGCACCACTTTTTATCTAAGATCCAAAGACTAAAGGACATATTACTACATGATGAGATGAATAAATTATGTACTGACCTAAGTGGTTAGCGAAGGTTGGTAAATGCTGATAGACAGAGTAAGCTTGGTGGTTAATGAAAGGTGGTAATGGTGGTGAAGAAAAGGTGTTAGCACCAATTTACAAAAGATACTGAAATGAAATGGGTGCTTGAATTCTATCGGGTGAAAAAGTTAAATAATCTCACCATTTGAGTAGATAAATTTAGTACGAAGGCGTTACATGATTCAATTATTAACGAGCCAATTCTAAGTTTGATTTTATCGTGCTTGAATTCTTCATATTGTTATTTTAGAATCTCGGCATTTTCATAAATTATTCAAAACAACTATCTGAAGAAAAACAAACAACAAACATTTCATAAAAGAAAGGATCATTTAGAATTGGATCGATCTTCTTATATGTAAAGTAGTATTAATATACATACTTGTAAAAGTCAACATGTATGACAAAATCAAGAACAAATACAAGGTTACCAAGAAAGAAACAAAGCCTAAGCAACCCAGATTTAAGGGACTTCAAATCCAATATTAGACAAACACCACCATGTTCAGGGATCAGATAATGGTTTTATGTATGAACTCGAGGGATCGATGAGAAACTTCCATGGAGGAAGAGACAAAAATAATTTGCCTTATTACTTGTTTGACTTGGTAACGCATGAGATGAGACAAAAAACAACAACAATAAGATCACGAACAATTAACAATCACTACTGACAAGGAATACAAGGTAGACTACGATAAGGACTTATCCCTAGCAGATGGACTGACTAATGTAATTAAAATTGGGCTTTAAAGTTTTAGAACATACGCTTTTACGTTTCAAGATCATCAAAATGCTTTTTTGTATAAAATTGTGATTTTCCTAATTAATGTAGTCAAAATCGCATTTTAAAGTTTATCCTTTTATGTTTTTAGATCACCAAAACACTTCTATGTAGAATCGTGCTTTTAACTACATTGGTTCGAAAATTAACATTAGATGGTTGATCTTTGATACCAGTCAATTAACGACGAAGAATCGAAAAGATATCAAATGAGGGAAAGCAATCATGGCGATGAATTGGTATCTGATGAATTTTGGCTCGCCGGCAACCGTCGCTGCTCTTTCACCAAGATCTGACTCACTTCATCGTCCATAATAGTTATGCTAAGAGTTTGATCGATTGGGATTTATCACACAAAACTGGTATTAGTGTGCTGGATTGTAACTCTCAGAATTCTCGTCTATCAAGTTTCTAGCCTGACCCTGACGCGATATTGGATTGCCAATTCAGTAACCTCATACCATTGGTATATATATTTTTGTTAGTCGGCTACTTCTAATCTAACAACGGTAAGATAATTGTGTTAGTTGCATTTATTTATTTTAAGGATTAACTTGTGTTCATTGTCATGTTTTGTTCATTATATAAATTATAGATTGATACATTAGCATGTGATTTTTTCTCTCTCATAATAATAGTGTTATTTTATATTGGTTGACTCGGTTAACAATTAATCAAACCAGTTAAATATTAATTTGGTTAATTTAGTTACTATATTAGTTTGATCAATTTGGTTATAATAATATATTTATGATTAATAAAATCTAGACGTATTTAATTTGATAATTATATCACCCCTGCTCTTCACCACTTCAAAGTTTTACCCAAGCCATTTTGGTTACCAAAATTATTCTTCTATTCAAACACCCTGTGATTCCATATCTATGCTTTATGAAACAGTTTGACCTCCAAAAGCTCAGTCCCAAGTTGTTTTAGAGATATCAGATCCAGCAATTCAACTTTTCTACACTGCAATATTGCTTCAAAAGAAAAGGGTGGCCGAAATATAGTAGAGCATGTAAAGAGGTACACCGACACAGAAAAGAGCCTTTGGTGACTTAATAGAAATGTAAAGCCATTTTTGGGTCTTTCCATAAGTAATTCAGCAACATGAAACCAACTTTATTCTCGACAGCATCAGACACTTTCCTCATTCACCCAAGCAAGGAGGCATGCAGCCAGAATGACAATCAGGAGTCTCTCTCACCATGTCAGGGCCATCAATAGCAGGCTTTCCATTTCATTCGTTTGAAGCTGCATCCTCAGATGTAGCACCTCCTAATTGAGAACAGACAAACACATTGTTGATAAGTTATCGTTTCGAAGCCACAGAAGGTTTTACTTTCTAATGAACTGATGCTGCACTTTGCTGGTAGGAAATGTACCTTCACCACCCGCTGGTGCATATGGAGACTTCCGATATCGTGTTTGCTGTTGCGTGGGCTGCGAGCACGACAGATTTCCAAAAAGAAAACATAATACGTCATCAGGCGTACAAGTATATTTTTCAATCATACCATACAATGAGTTCCAATTGAATATCAAATGTGGAACTGAATTACGACAACTATACAGTCCCACACGAATTTCTCAATCCAGGATTCATGAAAATAGTAACAGCGTACATGAATTCTATGTCAGGTAGACATAACACATGAAATGAGCACTTCTAATCTATAGTCTACACACCTCTCACACTCAATCGTCTTCAAATCATGTACGGCTTTCTTCGAAGATATTGCCACAATTTGAATTCTATAGCAGGTAGACATAACACATGAAATGAGCACTTCTAATCTATAGTCTACACACCTCCCACACTCAATCGTCTTCAAATCATGTACGGCTTTCTTCGAAGATATTGCCACAATTTGAAAGGAAAAGGAAAGAAGCATCAGAATCTATTGTCACAAGACTGCATTTTGGAGCAGGATGCAACTAATCACACATAGATTTTCAATTTTTTGGAAAAAGAAGTCACACACAGATCATTTTTAATTTGTGGCTCAGGCATTGCATAAGCTTGTAGCTTCTTGTGCAAACAACAAATTGAATACAGCAGGGGCACTTTCTCTCGGGTAACTTAATCAAAGCCACTGCAGGAATAACATGTTCTTAATCTGGAGAAGAATTTTGGCAGAGAAAAGGATGAAATCAACAGAATATAGAACGTTCCATCCTGTTCTACGTTGCCACTATTTTGAGAGGGAACATGCATTGGGCTGTAGGCTTATAATCTTTTCCTACATTCCTTTCAACTGGCTTATAAGGCTTTCAGGGATCATTTTTCATGCATAGCATGTATGGTTTATTCATGGAAACCGTACCAAGAAATACCTGCCATGGATTAGAAAGTGGCTATCCGTCGGGATTGTACCTTCTATTGATCCTAGTGTCTCTTAAGCGTCTTGTTTGAAACAATCTACATCTATGTATCTGAGCAAATTTTTCGGAGATCGCTTGAACTTTCATAAATTTACACAAAAATTTGAACCCATAATATATCCATCATTAGTAAGCAAATTCTTAGCTCAATCCTCGAATATATGTCTAAATTCCAAAGCATCCGAAACTAAGAGTAAAGCATTTCAAGCAATCTCACCACAATCGAGTAAGTGTGCACAGAGAAAAGGTTACCGGCTGAGTAAAGAAATACTGAAAAGCATCAACAAGTAGAGAGGAAGGAGCAAATAGTCGAATAATTCATGTACCTGTAACTTAGGCCGAAGAGCCTCAAGTGGTCCTTTGGGCTTCTCAACACCTTGCTGTTATCATTCATGATATAGCATCATGTCAGTAGCTCCAACGAAAATACACTTCCATTATTAGTCACAGGAAGAGAACTACATATAAACTAATTGAAAACCTTTCCAAGTGCCCAATCAGCTGAATCAAAGTATGCACGTTCATGATCCTGACATGGAAAGTTCAAGCAATTGGATGAGGAATGACATAGATAGGACTTCTGAATAACACAAACAAAAGAAAAATGATACATAATGAATTTGGCACAAAGGTGTCACCTTCGAAATGAGTGGTGGTTTCTTAGGCAAGATGCCACCATACTTTTTCTTCATAGCTTCTTCCTGAAAAAGGGCAATAGAAAAAAGAATTTGCATTCAATGAGGCTGCTGGAGAAACTAGTCAAAACCAAACTGTAATTCTAAATGCTTAGCCTCTAAGTCTGAGGAGTACGCAGAGCAGTAGAGGAGCAAAACCTCCTCTTTAGAAGGCGGGGCAGAGTTATTATCCTCGGCCACATTTCCATCTTGATGTTTAACATCCTCCATATCTGACATTTATTATCTCCCAGACCGTCAAAAAGGAGAGTACCTGCAACAGAGAATTGGTTGCCTTCTTGAGTAACACATCATTTGTGGTGGGTATAACAATAAGAAACGATGAATCCAACTAATGAACAAATAGAAGCAAAAAACTTCTCAACCGAACAGCAAACAATTCAGCCATTGTCATAGTCTCTCCTATCTTTCTTATCGATCCCCAGTCCCAACAGTATCCAAGAACCCCCAGCAAGAAATTATCAGAAATATATCTCCATAAACACCAACCACTGCCAAACTCTTTCCTCCAAGTTCAAACTACAGACTCAACCAAGAAGGCCAACAAATTGAGACGGTTGCCATGTGCTTCCTCCGAAATTCAAATCCGAGTCGCTGACCGAAGCATTAACAGTCAAGAATTGCCGTTACTACCCACAAGCAGATCAACGTCACACCCATGAAATTCATCAAAGTAAGGATTGCCGGCATGATCATTATAATTGGCCGACAGTTCGGAGCATGAGCAAGAAGACCCTTATCGGTTTCACCAGTGGCACCTGGCGGCATAATTATTCGGCCGAAGGTTTCAATACCGGGGAAATGTTGGATTCCATCATGGGGGATGTGAAGAAGATTGAGAGGATTATCCGGGTTGTGGGAAGAACCCATATGAAGGATTGAACACCCAAAGAAAAGAATGGAGTTGGAGAGAATTTCGCTTACCTGATTATGGATGGAATGAGACGAGACAAGAAATCGAGGAGTGGGGAGGCAAACGGGACGGTGAGATCTCCGACGATGTGTCTGTGACTGAAATTGAAATCCCAGAAACGGACTGAAATGCGGCTGCCGATTCTGATTTCTGCCAGAGAAGAGAAAGATAGATAAGGTTCATTACATAAATGGTCACTGAACTTTGGGGTAACTATTAAATCAGCTATTGAACTTCTATATTTAATAAATTTGCTACTTATGTTTGGAATAAGTAATGTACAAGTCCCTCGATTAATTTTTTTATCCAATTCATTGCATAAAAGAGTTTTCAACCCGTAGATGAATAGATGTAGTTTTCGCACCTTATTTGAACAGCACCGTATATTCTATCGCAAAGTAATATGGATTACGCATAATTGAATTGATAAATTGCATTTACTTTCTATACTAATGATATGTAATTTTAACAAAAAACGAATATTTAAGATCCTATTTGGTAATGGTTGAAAACGAAACAAGTGCAGTACATTTATGATGTAGCGTAGTTTTTTTATCTTTAACTTTAAGAATCCTATTTTTTGCTATGGTGATATATTTTATTAATTAAAATTATGGGAATAAAAAGGGGAAAACTAAACAGTACAAAGCATCCGTTTTTTTTATTTTAGTATCATGCTAAACCAAAGGAGTGTGTTGTGCATCCATTGTATTGATTACAAATTTACAATATAAATAAATTGTCTTCCTAGGGTGGCGCTGCATCCAAAAATTATATGCGATTTTGGATTAACCGATCGCAAATCGCAAGCCGCTAAAAATTTAGATCACATGTTAGACTGTAAGTTTTATGTTGCGGTTTGGCTTGATCGCAAAAGCTATTCGGTGTGATTTGGCCGCACCAATGTCCACACCTACTTACTCTGGCTTTGTGGAGCGATAAAATCATCAAGTTACATGTGCCCATCCTCTTAGAGTCTTATATTAAGGAATTTGCTATTTACTATCATTTGTCATATTTCAATTTATGTTTTCCGCCGAGAATCTCTAGTGCTTGATATTAATGAATAGCACATTTGATTTTTAGAACAATGATCAATATCATGGTTCACACATCTCCAAACAATGTTCGACCAAGGGTGTTTGATGTTTTTTTATGGCTGAAAAGCTAAGTTAAATTACTCCAACTCCTACAGGGTGAGTGAGAGCTCTAGAAAATAAAGCTACAACTATATCTACATTAGAGAGAAAATGATAAATTTTGACATAGGGTGTTAAGAGTTTGGTTGTGGAACCCTTTTACAATCTTTGTTTTTCCTATTTATAGTCATCTGGTGTAACTGTCCTGGTAATCACCACCTGACCGGTTGCTCCAACCGCCTCGGGGTCCTCATCGTCGCTTTGATTAATACTTGATAATCATCATCTTGGTGTTCACTCCCATTGCCTTGAGGACCCTTGTCCTATCTTGGTGACTAGTTGGTACTTGATTGTCCTTACGTTATGCAGGGTTAGTGTTGGTTCTTGTCGCCTTGTCCTGACCAGATGATGTTGAATCTCTTTGCCTTAGCCTCCATGATGAAGTCTTGATGACACCCTTGACAGCCCCAATGACTAGGGATGTCAATCCAACCTGTAACCATGAGTACCCTATCCGACCGTAACCGGTCAACGAGGGTAATTACCCGCTTTGACGGGTTAAGGGGCGGGTACGGGTAATACCCGGTTTCAAAATAAAGGGTAGGTACGGGTATGGTAATCGATAATACCCGCCCCGTTATACCCGCCCCGCTAACCAAAGGGTCAATTTCCCTTGAGAAATTGAGTTTAGCTATCATTATTGATGATGAAGATGTAGACGATTATTATGTTTGTGTGGATTGTAGAAGCAAGAACAATTAAAATGTGTTTGCTGTTTTTATTTGTGTGGATTGTTGAAGTTAGAACAGTTACAAGTATTGAGAATATTTAATGGACAACAGTATGTATCTGCATATATGTGTATAAGTTCATAGTTTAGGATTCGTACCCATGGTTACCCGGTGGGTAGGGTATGGTTATATAATTTTCATACCCGGTGGTTATTTGGTCGGGTATTTTAGAAAGCTCTACCCGACGGGTTAGGAGTTGGTATAGGATAAACCCGCACCCGACCCTACTTATTGCCATCCCTACCAATGACTCAACACATACTTTGCTTTTGTTGCTCTCGTCTTGCTCTTTTTGTCTTGGCACTGCTACCACATTGATTATATGAGAGAGCCCCCTCCATGCCAACCTGGTACCATCCTCGTCTTGCCAAGTCTTGCATGAAGGGGGTTGAGAGAGAGGAGAGCTTATAAGTTGTAGCAAGACGAGGGTACTTGCTAGCAAGTTGTAGCAAGACAAGGGTGGTACCGGGTTGGCATGGAGGGGGTTAAGAGAGAGAGGAGAGCTTATTTTATCTTCTTAAGATTGCTACCACATTGATTATATGAGAGATCCCCCTCCATGCCAACCTGGTACCACCCTTGTTTTGCTCTTGTTGTCTTGAGACTGCTACCACATTGAATATATGAGCCCCCTCTTTGCCAACATAGTACCACATTCGTTTTATTAGCTCGTTAACAAGTTCATCTCGTCAGCCTTTTTTATAAGGGTGAAATTTATCAGCTTGTATTGTTTCTTTTCCTTTCAAGTTTACCATAAGGCTATTAGGATTGAGCATAATTCTTCGTCAGTAATTTTTTCAAACAATTCACATAGACATTCTTCGCATGTATGATTCTCCCCTTATAAAGCTGGATGGAAGCCAAAAAAGAAGATGTCGTCGAATTCTTGGTGTGTTCGAAGCCAACAGAATGTATCAGTTCGAGAAGAGCTCGTCGTCCGGTTCTGTAAGTGCGAAATTTCCTCTTCATTGTCGTCCGATCGAGAAGGAGGCCGCCATCGACATCCCTCATCCTCACCGGTGTCCAGCGTTGCCGGAGGAGAGACCACCGCCATTACAGATCGCTCATCGGAAGGAGAAACGTGGCTTACTGGTTTAGGCAGAAGAGGAATAATGAAATAAAAATAAGTCGGGGGTATTTTTGGAAGGCTGCAACAAGAAAAGGAGAGATTTTAAAATACTTGGGGTCCATCAGCTATTTCAAATTCTCTAACACTAGGAATTTCAAAATTCCTAATCACTTAAATATCTCATTTTATTATAGCTATCCAAACAAAGAATTGTGGTGAAATCTCTGATGAGAAGGGATTGTGGCAAATTCCCTGCTCATATTTCCTAATCCAAACGACCCTTTAAATTATTCTCATTTGAGTCTAAGTCACTATTATAACTAGAATAGGCAAGGGGTCTTGTAAGTCTTCAAACACTCCATTATTTTTGGCCTATGTCTGCAACTCATAGAGTTCTATTATTTTTTGCTTTATCTATGAGGATGGTCATAATCAGTTAGTCGGTTAACCGTTTAACCATCGGTTAGTTATTATCTAAATTTGACTAGCGGGAATCGACCGTTTATCATTAACGGAATAACCGTTTACCAGTAATTTGAGGTGCCCGTCCACAATTTATGAGGTTTCCTCTTCTTACCTTCTCTTTCCATTCAAAGTACCCTAATTTCATCGTGTATTGTCCCGTTTTCTCCTTTCCCCAGCATCTTACATCTTGCTTTAGTTGTTGTGGGATAGGAATCGAACTGATTCGCTCTCTTGTCGATTGAAAGTTTGGAACTTTGTGTACAAATACATGCTAATAAGTTATTTTGGTAAAAGCATATACCAAACCAAACCACCCCGGTAATTAGCTGGAGACAAACTTCGATTGGCTTCTTTCACGTTTCCTCCTTGTCATCAGACAAAAAGATGCCAATGCTTGTTTTCCCCAAATATGATGATATAACATAACACATCACAAAATACAAAAAAAAGAAAGGGCGAAAGCACACGGACACTGCAACTCCTAGCTAAAGCGGCTGCCAGAACCAAATTATCAAATACAACATTTCATATTTAAATAAAATACCTCATTTCAAATAAATTTATATTTAAATACATGTTCATAATTGAATCCAACAAACAATATCAACATTTAACTATTAAACTCATTAAATAAATAATGAACTATTTTTTTATTAATTAAATTCATTAAAATGACTTTATTTTGCTTAGAAGTTGTAAATCTTTCATATCGATAGTTTCAATGCCGGTTTCATTACTAGCTATTAGTCGTTGAATCAGGTTCAGCAGACCGGCATTCGACCAGCGTCACAAACTCACAATCATGACCAGAACCCAAACACTCGCCCACTTCACGTTCAAACAGTACCGATCATAAAGCCGGCATGACAACTATGAGCAGAACCCACACATAGGGATGTGCAATGATCCGGTGCGTATCGAGTACTATAATGCAGTCTGGTCCTTAGTCTTATGAATTTTATAATTACCGAAGATAAAATGTAACAAATTGATTTTTGAACTGGACCAAATGGACTGAATAATAATCTGGTCCTTAGTTTTGAAATATTTTTTACTAATAAACCGCGATTCTCGTGAGTTTGATCCGATCCGGACCGAACCAAACCGAATCTTTGCACACCCCTGCCCAAACACTCGCCCACTTCACGTCTCTCTCTCTCTTCCCTCACCCACCACAAAAACCATTCACCACCGTGCTCACCGCCAGTTACCGCTTCTCCACTATATATAGTTCCCCATTCACTCTTCTTCCGCTCACACCTCCACTCTCTGTCTTTCCACAGCTGGCTCCGCTCCAATAATCTCCCGCTCTTCAAACAACCCCTAAACCTCCTCTCCCTCTCTTTTAACCTCAATTATCCCTTTCCACGAGAACCGGCACTTGCCGCTGATGGCGACGGCGGGGAGCATCGACTATCTCCAGCAATTCGTGGAGGATACGTCAATGTTCAACAGCATTGTGCTGTCGAATCTGCTTCCCGCCACCTGGTGGGCTCCACTCCCTCACTTCCTCCAGACCTGGCTCCGTAACTACATCGCCGGCACCATCCTCTACTTCCTCTCCGGCTTCCTCTGGTCCTTCTACATCTACCACCTCTACCGCAACGTCTACATCCCCAAAGGTCCACCATTAAAACTCTCTACACTTTCTCTCCCTTCTCCGGATCTGTAGTTTATGCCCTAACCTTTCAACAATCCCCCACTAATTCAAAATTATGCGTTGTGGGTTTGTGGATTGGGTCTAAACCCATCTGAGATCTCCGTTGTATTTCCCCGTTTGAGTTTGTTCTTGGTGGCTTGCATCACAATTCGGTAGTGGGTTTGCTGGCTCTTAGGCGAAAGGGACTTTTGGATGGTCGTTCTTTAATCTTTACAGTCATGTCAAAAGTGGGTTGTGATTTTTTAAATTGGCAACCATCTATTTTACTGCCTTTTCTTCTTCTACATAAAGAAATGGGGGGAAAAGAATCTATGTGCGCCTTGCCTTGTTTTCACCCTTCTCTGTTTTGCTCTTTGTCTCTCTCTCTCTTTCTCTCAAAGTTGTTTCTGTTTATGGTCCAGCTACCTGCTCCCTCCAAACATTCTACATGTGGCTCTTGTTCTCCCTGTCTGCTATCACGATATGTTATCTGTGATTGCTCATATTGTATACATGAAAAAGACTTCTTTATTGCCACTTTATAGCTTTATCGACATTATATATGAGATATTTATTGGCGGATATGATGTGGCTGGCTAGTTGACTAACAGACAAGTGGGATGGGGATATGACATTATCAAGTTTTCTCTTATCATGTGTTTGGTTTAGAGAACATATATTGCAGAATTAAATTTACTTTCCATTGTTGTGACTTGTGAGCATTATTGTGTCTGCATTGTTGGGTTTTCTTGCTAGTAATCACGACACAGAGTCATGGGAAATACTCACATTCATCATGGGGAAGTTGAATTCTGTCTGGTTTTGTTCAGTATATGAAGTCAATTACTGGGAGATATGCTGCCCATACTGTCATTTTCTTTTCATTTTAGAATCCTTAACCTGCCTTTCCCGTGTCAAAAGGCTACTCCACCTTGAACTATGTTGATACCAATACTAACAATGTTTTACTGATCTGGTGAAGAATCTTAATTGCAGATGCCATACCTTCCAATAAAGCAATGCTGATGCAAATCTATGTTGCTATGAAAGCCATGCCGTGGTACACTCTTCTTCCAACTGTGTCCGAGCACTTGATCGAAAATGGGTGGACCAAGTGTTATTCTGGGATATACGAGGTCGGGTGGATTCTCTACTTTTGCTACCTTGCCATATATCTCATTTTTGTGGAGTTTGGGATTTACTGGATGCACAGAGAACTCCATGATATTAAACCTCTGTACAAGTTACTTCATGCAACTCATCACATCTACAACAAGCAGAATACTCTGTCTCCATTTGCTGGTCAGTCAGTCCTTCATACTACTTATAGGCAGATTCGCGATTCTACGATTCTGTATGTTGCAAATGAGCTAATTCAAATACTGATCAGAATCCCAAACTGGCTGCTGTTGTTGTTGCTGCCTGCCTTGTTCGTTTACTTTTCAGGTTTGGCCTTCCATCCAGTTGACGGGATCCTGCAAGCATTGCCACATGCACTAGCTCTCTTTGTAATTCCGACCCATTTTCGAACCCACATAGCTCTATTGTTCCTCGAAGCCGTGTGGACAGCGAACATTCACGACTGCATTCATGGGAAGCTGTGGCCTGTGATGGGTGCTGGTTACCATACCATTCACCACACTACTTACCGTCACAATTACGGGCACTACACCATTTGGATGGATTGGATGCTAGGAACCCTATGTGAACCTGAGGAAGAGAAGTACGAGAAGGTGAATTAATTCATCTCAGGAATTGGGTGGCTGGGTGGTTGCAATAGGATTGAACTTTCTCTATATGGTGGTTGGCTCAGTGGCTCTCTTTATTTGTGTTTGTAAATGGTGTTTCAAATAGATGTTTGGCCCTAGCAAGTTATGATTTTTTTTTTTTTTTTGGAGGGGAAGAGATGGCTTTTGAAAGCTTTAAAACAGAAGTAGAAGCCCTCTGCTTGTTGTCGTTGCTGCTAGTAATTATATAGCCATTAGCTGACTCATTGTTTTTTTGCTGTGGTTTTGAGCTGTGGGGAAATCATTTATCTGTGTAATTTGATCACTTCTAGCTAAATGCTCTATCAAGGTGTTACCATGGGAACCCTGGTTCAGAAAATATGCAACAAGATGTCCTCTTGGATTCAGTTTGCTGGTCAGTCCAGAATTCTATCATATATAGAAGTCTTTAGTTCTGTTTTCTGTTCTTTTATTGTATACAGGCTACAATTGCCTTCTTTTCTGTGTCAACATCAGGGGCTTATCTTTCTTGATTCAGACAATCAGACACAACACAACCATACAAGTCATATCCTTAACTAATATCCAGAAGAGTGATGTTGGCTGGCTGCCAGTTGCAAGAGACTTAAAAGAAGAAAAAAAACACAAGTGTCAACCACTGATATCAATTATCACTATCTCCAGCATTGTGGCTCCATCTCAGACACAGACTTACTTACAGGCCTCCATGTTCTGAGGCTCCATTTCAGAAACATACAAGTTACAGAGCTCCATGTTCTGATTCTGAGAAAATTGATCTGCTACCCCACAAGATTTAAAGCTTTGATTGATGCGTTTCTGTCTTCTTATGGGGTTTATTGGCCTTTCTTAATAGATTCACCAAAATGGCACCTGTGCTTAACTATACTCACAATTATCCATAAGTAGACTCATTCAAGTTCTCACCAACTGAGAGGGAAAACTTTACATACCGTTTCCAGTCATGTCGGCCCCTCTTTATTAAAAGTGGAAGAAGACGAGGAGCGGGGTCAGGATTTGACGATTGAGAGATCAGAGTTATTTATTGTATTACGTAAAAAAGAGAAAAAAATAAAATAAGCAAAATAATATAAGAAAAAATAATATTTTTTTGGTATTTTATCATATTGATTTGAGACAAAGAAAATCACTCAAAATGTTCAGTTAAAAAATGAATAAACTAGGAATAAAAGTACGATTAACATTCATTTTCCAAAATGATGAGCACCATTAATTTTTTTAAGAATTAAGTAATTATTCATATAATCAAAAGAATACTTAGAAATATAAATTCAAAATTTGAAGAACGTATTTGATCTATTTTAAAAGTACGTAACTTATAAAACAAACTATGATAATTAACAACTAATAAAAGAATCAAATTAAACTAACAAGATTAAAAATTAAAAAAAAAGTGGAAAATGGTTATGTCTGAAGGCTTTATGGAACAAAATAAAATTAAACTAATAAGGTTTAAATTTTTTAAAAAATTTAAGGAAGATGGCACTTTGTCAAAATGGAATGAAGGTCACTAACACAACGTTTGGTATAAAATGTATCAGGAATTCAATTCATTTTAAAATGAATTACTGTATAGAATTCATTGGTTAATGAATTCCTGTATTTGGTATGTGATATTCAAATTTTTATAAATAAAATGGAATGAATTCTCAAACAATGTTTGGCATACTATCGTAATTGAATTAAATTAAAAGTTTTCATCTACACCCTTATTAATTTCCAGCATAAACAATATTCATTGGAAATCCATATTCTAGAAAATGCAAGTGACAAAATTATTATCCAACCATTAAGAAAAGCTAAACAATAAGTTCGGAAAAAACTAGTAAACAATATGAAGATCCATCTTCTAAAGATCTTCAATATAACCCATTTTTCTCTTGAGCCAAGCGAGCTTGATCTCCTTAGAATGGAATTTGGACTCGCTCGGAATACATGGTTTAGGAGAAACTATGTATATAAGGTTAACCTACCGGCGAAGAGAGGGTTAGGCCCACATAATATGTGTATTGACACCAACTAATATATATATAGAAGTAATATAGTTAATAGATGAGCATGATTACTATCTATTATAATTAGTAAAATACTTGTGGAATTCATTTGGAAATTCCATTTTAATTTTTCGGAATTGCTATAACTAGTTCCAATTCTGTAAAATACAAAATTTAGAATAAAAAATGAATTCGTTTAAATATAAACACAAAAAGATTTCATTTCGAAATGACTTCCTAAAAAATTATGCAATTTATTTATATCAAACGGTATGTAAGTAAATTAAACATGAATTTCTCACAAGGCTAAATTCAGGTATCATGCATCATTATTGCACACTATATTTATTTATAAAAAACTTTCAACCAGTTGTTTGGCTCGTGCTCTGCGGCGGTAAGAAACAAATTATATTTAAAATTATATCTCTTCCTTCAACGATTTAGGTGAAATTAAATAATTTAACAAATCGATGGTGGTGCCATCCTTCTCTTTTATGTATTAGTTCAAATTCTTTGTTAAGGATGTGAATTATATTGATACTTTATGCATACTCTTTCTATGATATAATGAGATGCTTTGGTAATTAGATGCCTTTATCATTGGATGTCTAACTATATTATTTTATGTTTTAGTCATGTGATGCTCAAGGTCTATCTTAGACACATTGATCATTAGTTACGATATTCATATAAGACATAGTAAATGTAATAAAGATGCATCGATAAAAGAGGAAACTATATCAAATATGAGAATGATAAAACTATATTTGAGCGTCATCAGTAGCCAAGGGATCCAATAAAAGGAGCCGAGAGAGATCTCGCTTGACTCCATGATCGATCTCCACCTTGATCTTGCGTATTTCTTCATGGTCTCCGGCTTTGGGAATGACATGCTCCTCTTCTCCACCAAGAGCTTCCTTAGAAATGAAGAATTCTTCAATTTCCACTCTCCCACATCTTGCTCAAAGTTAGAGTCTCCAAACAGATTCATTGAAGTTTGAGAAGGGAATGTAGGGGGGTCATGAAGAGATCCTTCACTTCCAATACTTGGGTCTGCTATGAGTTTATGTATGGCATCATCGTCCTACTGCTTGTGATTTGTGGGTGTCTGTGTGAGAGGATTTGGGAGAGGTAGAGATATGGTGAGATAGAGAGGCAGAGAGAGGGTTGAATTTTCTGCTGCTGGGAGTGGGAAGGAAAGGGATAGAGATTGAGATGAAAGTGAGAAGTTGGGAATCGGGTTAAGGTTAGGGGCGGCCTGGGGGCTGGAGTGGGAGTGGGCTGGGAAGTATTAATGTTATCTGGTTTCCCAGTTTTAACTTAGCAAAATTGGGCCAATTTTTCTGACCCTCACCATGACCAGGACTAGACTATATTGAAGCAATCCTGTTTTTGGTTGCAATCAGACCTATTTTTACGATTCGGTTTAACCAGAAAACTATCATCAAATTTCCATCCCTACTCTTGAGGTTTATGGTCTTTATGCTCCTCTTTAGGCTCCTCTTGAGACTCCTTCTTTGACTGGATAGGTTGAGGTAGATTTTCTTCTTTAGACTCCTCATTAGGTTGATCATCCTTGTGTGAAGTTGGCTCTTCATCTTTCTCCAGATAATCATTTTGGCTTTCCAAGAGTGGTGCTAAACTTTAACTAAGAGTTGAAGGGGAATCATCAAACTCGATCACTCCCTCCTGGATATCTTCTATAGTTGAGGATGCGTCGGTAGATAGATTGCTTGTGGATGCAAGACAGAGAAAATGATGGAAGCCTTCAACTTCTTAAGAATCCAAGAAACTTTGGATGTCTGCGTAATCTTCAATACTGCAACCTTTTTCATCCATGAATGATAAAAACCCGAATTTCAGGTTCTATCTATTTCTAGAGATTTGAGGGAAATTAGCAAATCACTGAGGTGGTGATCTTCTCCTTTGGCTTGTGGAAAGGAAATAGAGAAAGAAAAACGAGAATTGATAGGGAAGGAAGGAGGGGAAAGATGCGACAGCAGCAGTAGAGAGAGAGAGAGAGAGCGTGTGTGTGTTTGTGTGTTCGACAGGCAAGGGAGAGAGGAAGAGGGATTAGAGAAACAATTAGGATTTAATCTTTGCTTAACTTCCATTCCCACGTAACAAAAAAGTTTATATAGTAAATCCACAATTTTGCATTTGGGGATAATTTGAGGGATAAATAAGTTAGGGTAACTATAGAAAATTGTGGGTTTTTTTTTTTATTTCTGAGTGATATCAATGAGACAAAATAGTTAATCTTACAGTTCTACCCAGGACCCCTTAAAGACTCTACTGAGGCTACCCCCAAAAAATCAAAAGATTCTAACTCTACAAGAGACAAAAGCAAGCTTTCATATGACCTTCTTCCCCATAGTCTACGATCTCTTCCAATGTCTCATGCATCTCCTTGAGGCTTCCTTCATTGGCTTCTTGACGACTTTTGATGCTTTATACACCTTCTAGCAGTTGCTTTAGTCCCACATCATCAATGCTAGCTCGCTGCATCTCCACCATAGTTGAGTCAACTCCACACTTCTCGACTAATAGCTTCATCTCGTCAAGATCGACATCATCCTCTCCCGAGAACTACTTCATTGCTTGCACCATCATCATTAGTGGGGGTTTTGTCTTGATGCTCGATGCATGCATGTCCCAAGAGTTTATGTGTTCGATCAAAAATACTTGAATAGAGATAGTATACACATCTTTCTTCGTGTAATGCTAGATGGTACGAGTTCCAAGTTGCTTCTAGTATCACGTCTTTGTATGATTTACAATGCCTTTTTTTATTGCGAGGTCGAGTTCTACAAAACAAAACATACTAGAGCATATTACCTTATAAAAGTACCAAACACAAAATGTTGGATTCTTTCAAAACGATCACATAATCTACTACAGACAACAGTGTCAAAAACTTGATATGCGATATGTAATAGTATTACAATTGAAGTAATAAAAATTCTAGATTTGTTGAGATTTTCTATAATTGACCAAATTTCTGGTATCTAATAACAAAAAACAAATAAACAATAAAAGAACTATTGTTACATGGTTTCATCCACAAGAGATATATCATCAGTTCATCACCAAAGCAACTGGTGTAATTGGAAAAGGGTCTCTGCTGCTGGTTTGGTGATTGGTTCCCTCACCAAAATCTCCATTCTTCTCCAAATGCAATGCAATTCCAGCACCACTCTCTTCTCCTTCTTCCTCCCTCGTCTCCCTACTTCTCCATTCATCTCTTCTTCCTCTTCCAATCCCAAAAGCTTCACCAATTGTTCCCAATCCACAAACCACAACAATCCCCACCCCATACTCCCCTCGCCGGACTCACACTCCCATCCCAATGCTGCCACCGCCAGAATCCCCACTCCGCCGTGGGTTAAAGGTCCTCTCCGCCTCCAGCCGCACGAGCTCGCCAACCTCTCCAACAATCCTCCCAAACCCCGCAAACCCCTAGAATCCGCAGAAGAAAAGGCCGACAAGGCGCTCACCGCGAAAGAAAGCGGTGTGCGAGGCAAGAAAGCCATGTCCAAAATCGTTCGAAGCATCGAAACCCTCCCCGGAAATCAACAGCAATCGCCGGTGGTGGTGGATTCCTCCTCCTTCTCCCTGGGAAGTTCTGATTCCGACGATGCGAATAAGAAGCTCCCCTGGGTGAGAGAAGAGAAGGTCGTGCGCTACAGATTGAAGAAGGACAAAGTGGTGACTCAAGCCGAGTTGGTTCTTGATCAGGACCTGCTCGAGAGATTGAGAGCCGAAGCTGCTAGGATGAGAATTTGGGTGAAGGTGAAAAAGCTTGGGGTGACGCAGCGCGTGGTTGATGAGATAAAGTCGGCTTGGGAGACCAATGAGCTCGCCATGGCTAAGTTTGACCTCCCACTGTGTCGCAATATGGATAGGGCAAGGGAGATTGTTGAGGTTTGCAGATTACTTAACTTTGCATTTCCTACCACGTTTTAATCAAGCATTCTGAAATCAGAGATCAAACTGATGGAGTTAATGGTTCAAGGTGAAACAACAGAACTGTTTAAAAACCGTTATATAGTGATATAGACTTGGTCACTCGTCCATGATTTAACTGGCACAGCATTACCAATAGGACATGGGTATCACAAAATTTTAAGATCACTTTCTGATCTTAATTTAATTTATTTCTGTGTCTATTGGCTGGTGTTTTGTTTGATCAGTTGAAGACTGGAGGCTTGGTTGTTTGGACATGGAAAGACAGTCTTGTTGTGTATAGAGGATGTAATTACGAAGTGGCTAAAAATTCTGGTATAAGCAATATGGTTGATGATGACATATATGGAATCCCTGGGGAAGAATTGTCATTGTTTCAGAGAGAAGGAGATAGGTTATTGGAAGGCTTAGGACCTCGGTTCGTTGACTGGTGGATGCCAAAGCCGCTGCCAGTGGATGCTGATTTGCTGCCTGAAGTGGTTCCTGGATACATGCCTCCTTCAAGGCGTTGGCCTCCTTATGGTCGGCCTCAGCTGAAAGATACAGAGTTGACAAGCTTGAGGAAGCTTGCTCGTATTTTACCCACCCATTTTGTTCTTGGTACTTTCTCACAACTCTGAGATTTTTATTGTTTTGGGTCTCCTGAGTTAAGCATGTTTACTAATCTGTTGGTTCGTGAGACCCGCGGTGCAAGTTGACATTTTTTTTTTTTTTGCTGGTTTGCGAGATCAAACCATTGCATGCATAGAAGAGTTTTAGCATTGAAAATACTCAATTTTACCTAGGAACTCTTTTCTTCTTTGTTGCAGGGAGGAATAGAAGGCTCCAGGGTCTTGCTTTTGCAATCTTGAAGTTGTGGCAGAATAGTAACATAGCTAAAATTGCTATAAAGTGGGGAGTTCCGAATACTGACAATGAGCAAATGGCAAATGAGCTTAAGGCAAGTTATGAGATGAAGTTACCTACATTGTTGTAATTTCCTCCTGGGTTTGGACCTGCTAACTTGATCTTTGTGAATTTGACTTGAAAGTTTTCATTTTTCTTTCATCGAGCGTAGTGTGAGTTGCAAAGTGATTTCCTGTACTTTCTAGCTGATCTGTCCGGCAAAGCTCACCACATTGTGTCATCCGTGTTTAGTGGTTGACATTCTACCTCAGAATTGTCTACAATCTCTATTTACTCATGCAGCGACCTAAGAACAAGAATAACTGCTTCATACAGAAGTTTGCAGTCTTAGGCTCAATGTTTGACTGTGAATTTTAGGGTCACTCTTGCTTTACATTAGTCTGTAGTTAATGCTTTTTTTAACACTTATGTTCTGTATGCAGCGTCTGACAGGTGGAGTGTTGTTGCTTCGTAATAAGTTCTTCATAATACTATATAGAGGTAAAGACTATCTCCCTTCTGAAGTTGCAACGTTGGTATCTGAGAGAGAAACTGAGATACGGAGATGCCACCTGGACGAAGAAAGCTCACGAAAGAAAGCAGCCGACTCAGTCCACATTGTTGTGGATCCATCGCTGAACAGCAGCAAAACAGGAACCTTATATGAATTTTGGGATATCCAAAACAAGTTTGGGGGGTTGGTTAAGGGGAAAAAGGAGAATGAACTTCAATTAGAAGCTGAGAAGGCAAACCTTGAAAGGGAATTGAGAATCCAAGAACGCAAGCTTTTCATTGTATGGTTTCATTTTCAGATTCATTCAGTCCAGTTATTTGTGACCGAGTTCATGTCATTTAAAGAAAATGTCTGGATTTTGCAGCTCGAAATGAAAATAGAGAATTCCATGAGAGAGTTGACTAAGTTGAATTCTGAGTGGGTGCCCACTGAGAATGATGCTGACCGTGAAATACTCACAGATGAGGAGAGAGAATGCTTCAGGAAGATTGCACAAAAGCTGCGTAGTAGCTTGGTTCTTGGTAATATATGCTTACTTTTTGATACCCCGTTCAACGTCTCGCTGTATGTCCTATGAACAGTTTTGAAGTCCCTAGATTTTCTGTACCCGTCCATTTCTCACTTCACAGTCACTGAAGTATGGGGATAATGTTAGAAGTAGGGCATGTCTTCGGAAAAGCTTGCTGGTTGGGGATCAGGGGATCTTTTCTTTGCTTGGTGTCTGCCATCGTTGTTTCTTTTGTTAAGAATTTGGTTTGGTTTTATTCAGGCAGGCGTGGGGTGTTTGACGGTGTGGTGGAAGGGTTGTATCAGCACTGGAAACACAGAGAAGTAGTTAAGGTTATTACCATGCAGAGGACGTTTACACAGGTCATTTATACGGCTAAATCACTTGAAGCAGAAAGTGGTGGGATTCTTGTGTCAGTGGAAAAGTTGAGCAAAGGTCATGCTATAATACTCTACCGTGGAAAAAACTACAGGCGGCCTCAAAAATTTCATTCTGAGAATCTTCTAACGAAACGAGAAGCATTGCAGAGATCAATTCTGATGCAGAGGATTGGGGTTAGTAGATACTCTCTTTTCATATCATCTATGTAACTCGTGATTTCCCAGATTTTTCATTTATACGACATGTCATCCTCTTATTTTTTTCTCTCTCTCTTTTTTTTTTGCCTTTTCTTCTTTGATTTGTGCTGGCCTTATTGACAGTCATTGAAGTTTTTCGCACATCAAAGACGACAGGCTATCACAAATATGAGGTCTGAGCTGGTATGGTTGTCTTGCTTTCTGTATGGAATTTCCTCTCTGTTTATTCATAAAAAAAAAAAAAAAATCCTCTCTGTTCTGCATTAGTTTCCTGCACTTCCTCTCATAATGTGAAGTTACTGGTTATGCTGGGTTGGAGATCCTCCGTGTTTTAATGTGTTGATATGTCTCACAGGAACAACTTCAGAAATCTGAGGAAAGGAATGGAATATGAAAATATGTCAATCAGTGACCTGGGTAGTAATTCTTCCTGAACCCTAGGAGCAAACAATGCCCTCTCACTCAGCAGCTGCTGTTAATTCGTTGAATGTCTGATGGCAATGGATATGAAGGGTTGTCATCTGCAGGTACCTTCTTTCGTTACTGTATTTGCTTCCCTGCAGCAGTAAACCTGTGTGACATGTTCTGAAATGTTCACAAATTCGCAAACTTGATTCCATTCTGTTACCCGTCTTAGAGTTTGGTGCCCACACTCCCTATGAAGGAAAACGGCCGCATGACAGCTTCGTGTTAGAAACAAAGTTTCTAACAGTTGTAGAATTGGGGAATTAGCTAGACCAACTAGGGATTGATCAAGCTAGGGATTAGAATTAGGGAATTTAGGAAGAAGAGAGGGGGGAAGTTGGCTGCCGATCGGCCAAGGGAAGAGAGGGAGGGAGAGAGAGTTCGGCGCTTAGGGGGGAGAGAGAGAGGGGAAGATTAGGATTTAGGTTTTCCGTAATTGATTGCTTAATGACAAAATAACTCCCTACTGCAGATTATATAATCCGCAAAATGCCTAACTGCTACCCATATAATAAAAATACCCCAAATGATCCCCCAATTATCAAAACCGACAATAATACGAAATAATGAAAAGCTGTAAATTGTTTGTTTCTAACATCCCCGCCTCCTTGGGAAGCAACCTTGTCCTCAAGGTTGCGGCTTCTCTTGCTCTGCTCCGGGTTCCTCCGCCATCTCATCCTCCGCCTCGTCTTCCCATCGTCCCACCAAGAACATCAAGTCAGGCTTCCCGCACTTGTGACCAAAGATAAACCACTCGTCACAGTTGAAACACTTCCCTTCTCGCCTCTTCTGCTCGATCTCTGCGGGAGATAGCGTCCTAAATCCATTGGGTGGTGGCCTCGGTCCCGCTCGAATGACAGCCGAGGGTGGGCCAGCCGCCGCACCCCCTCCCGAACTAGGGCCCGATGTGGCGGCACTCATTCCGCCGCTCGTGCCGCTACCACTGCCTCCTCCTCCGGCTGGCTTCTGATAGCGGCCTATCACTCCTCGCCAGCTAGCCAGCTCCTCCTCCTTATTACCTGCAAGACGGAAAACAGCTCGAAGTGAATCGGGCTCAAATACCCGAACAGCCGCTGCAATCTCTGGGCGGAGTCCCGCCATGCACAGACCCACCAACGTCTCCTCCGGTACGCCCTTGCACTGGTTACCCAGTTTGAAGAACTCCGCTCGATACTCCGCCACTGTCCCAGTCTGGCGCAGCTTCACCAACTGCTCCGGGGCCCACCCTTCCGACTTGCCGAACTGATACCTCAACTCCTCTTTGAACATCGGCCAAGTAATTAGCGTCCGAGCTTCAGCATATGTCCGCTCCATCCATTCCCACCACTGCAATGCATCCCCCTCTAAATAGAAGGACGCCAACTGAGCCTTTCGTTCTTCTCTAGTGGGATGATTCTTGAACCACCGTTCCGCGGAGTATATCCACAGACCTGCATCCTCCCTGCCATTGAATTTTGGGAATTCAATGGTTGGGGGCTTAGCTCGGAACACCATGTCATCTTCCGCCTCACCACCTCGGGAATAACCAGCGTGCCTCCCATACCCCGGCGCCTCGCTGTGGTAATGCTGCGAGAACCGGTGTCCCCCTTCATACTCCCACTCATCCTCCTCCTCCTCCCGATACCTCCTTCGACCCATCTCATTTCTTTGCCTCTGATCATCTGTTCCTGCTCCCATGAATTCCTTACCAGTACCTTGCTGATTCACGAATGGAGGTTGAGTGCCACTGTACTCGTCGAACTGGCCCTGGAGAGCCGGAATTTCCCTGCTGCCCGTTCCCACTGCACGTACCCGCTGCTGCCCCGGATCGGTCCTGGTTCGACCGGGTTCGGTTCGACCGGGTTCGGTCCGGCCAGGTTCGGTCCGACCGGATGCGGTCCGACCGGGCTCGACCCATCCGGGTTCGACCCACCTGCTCGGGGCCCGACTCGACCCAGCTCGGCCTGCGGGTTCGCGGCCCATAGGGCTCGGCCGCCTCCTCTCCCAGCCGCGGCCCAACTCGCGCCGCCCCCCGCCTGGGCCGCCTTCCAGCCCCGCGCGGCCCATCTGACTTCCTTCCTCCCTGCTGTAGTCCGCCCCTGGCCCACTCGACTCGTTAGGCCAGGGCCCGCGATCGTATTCCTGCTCCAAGTCCATCAACTCTTCCTCATCCAGGCCCATTTGCAGACTCGGATCCACGTACTCGGCCATCTTGGCCTTGCCCCGCGCACGCGCCTTCTCCTGGGCCGAGGGGGTCGGAAGCAGCCCATCTTTGATTGTTGGGCCAAAGGAGACCTGGCCCGCACGCAACCCCAGTGGCCGGTTAGGGTTGGCCGCCGCCCCGCCCCTCTCACCACGCCCGTCCGCCGCCGTGTTCGACGAGGGCCGTGCGGCGCCGTGGTCGCCGGGCGCCTCCACCGAGGTCGATCCCTCCCCTGGCGCGCCGTCCTCCCCGTGCAGCTGGCCGCCGCCGCCAGCTTCGATCCCTGATTTCTTCAGGGCCTCCACCAAGTCACCCACCTGCCCCGCCAGTGCCTTCACAACCCCTGCCAGAGCATCAAGGGTTTGGCCTTGATCCCTAGCCCTCGCCTGCAGTCCCTTCAATTCTTCCTCCACCCGCGCCTGTCTCTCTGCCTGCGCCTCCAAGTCTCTCCTCAGTTCCTCATTGCCGGTCAGATCCTCCACAGCCCCATCGACCCCGTCGTCGCCTGCATCGGCGCTCCTGTCACCCGCCTGATTCGCCTTCTCCGCTTTCTCTGCTGCCTTCATGGATTTCGTCGTTACCATCGTTGATTCTCCGGTTTCCAAGCTGTCCCTGGTGGAGTTGAGAAGAACTCACCGATCGGAACCGGGCTCTGATACCAGATGTTAGAAACAAAGTTTCTAACAGTTGTAGAATTGGGGAATTAGCTAGACCAACTAGGGATTGATCAAGCTAGGGATTAGAATTAGGGAATTTAGGAAGAAGAGAGGGGGGAAGTTGGCTGCCGATCGGCCAAGGGAAGAGAGGGAGGGAGAGAGAGTTCGGCGCTTAGGGGAGAGAGAGAGAGGGGAAGATTAGGATTTAGGTTTTCCGTAATTGATTGCTTAATGACAAAATAACTCCCTACTGCAGATTATATAATCCGCAAAATGCCTAACTGCTACCCATATAATAAAAATACCCCAAATGATCCCCCAATTATCAAAACCGACAATAATACGAAATAATGAAAAGCTGTAAATTGTTTGTTTCTAACACTTCGCCAATATAGACAATCCAGCATTGATGAATAATATCTAGCCAATATAATGAAGGCTTATAAAAACCTTCGTCAGATCTCCTGACACCCATAGAAGGCCATTATTTATGTTGTTGCAGCATGTCTTACCTGAAATCATGAGGCATCTATCAGTTGCACTTGCTTTCTAGACGTGTGCAGCAATTCACCCTGGTAATTATGGATGATAATCAATTGAAGTTCGGTATCTACAATAATGCAACTATGAATTTGCTTATGCGGTCTTCTGTTGGCTAAGCTTGTCTATGAGTTCCAGCTGTCAGAGTCAAAGTGAAAAGGGCTTTATGGTGCCAGCCAATGATACAGAAACTTTACTCGAATTGCTGGTTGGCATGGAAAACTATGCCAGAACCGGAACTGATCCCTCTCCCTTCACTTGCTCCATGGCTGACCAGTATGGATTCAGATCAGATTTGTAAGTGATTCTATGGTTGTTTGAATTCCAGGTGTACTGCCATTTTATCTGTCTTACTAATATGCGCGTCATTGCCGTTGTCTATCAATCTGCACAGCAACATTTACTCATTGCCACCACCAATCCACAACTGCTGCTTCCACGGCGGAGGAACAATACACAGACCAGCTTCGGAAGGGGACCTGCAAACCTTCTGGCATCCCTTTCAACTGGTTATGTTCATCTGGAATTCCCTCCAGCTGTTCTTAGTTGTGTAGGAACTTATGTAGCGAACCATGACGCCATGAATTCCTAAATAACTCTCGACGAATGAATTTGATTCGTGGTTCCAATAGCTGTTAATTTAAATCAACATGTACGTATATTGGAGCCTGAATGATGTACAAATTACATCACATTTGAGTTGAGTTGGAGAGAGTCGTTTTTACAGCACCAGAATATGCAGAGATGATTTATGTTCTCTTTTACCTTTTCTTTTTATCATGCTTAGTCATCCTTCCCAAATACATACATTATTTTTAACATCATGTGAAAGGAAAAAAATAGATAAAATTACAGGTCTCAGTCTAGCTAGGGTATATATCCTTGCACATAACAGCAACATCACAAACTGACCCTGAAGTTCGGGAACGCAAGCAGCATAAAGCAAGGGTCATTGACGATGAGGCTCTCGTCTCTTTCCCTTGGGGTTGGGATGTAACCCTTAACTCACCAGACCAAGCCTCGTTTCCTTCTAATAAATCTATCGACACGGTCAATGCTCATTCGAGATTTCTCGTGCTTGCTCGACTTCTTGGACTTCTCCAGCCGACTGTCTAAACTGTTTCTCGACATTTGAGGTGGCGGTGGAAGCTCTGCTGCTACCAATTCAAAAGTATCTTCTGTGGTTCCAGGTGTGTCCGGTGGTGCTTTATTCTTACTCTCTGCCTCTGATGATACCGTCGTCTTATTGGGCTCTGCATTAGCCGCAACAGTGGCTGCTGCTTTTGCAGATTTCCCCAGTGAGACTACAAACTTCTTGAGATGCTTAATGAATTCTGGATATAGCTCGAGGTTGCAGTGTCCCCCTCCAGTTATCCATAGAGGTTCGTATTTGTTCTTACAGAGATCCCACAGCTGTCTTCCGTGGGAGCAATCCACGACTTCGTCTGCTGTTCCCTGAGAGTTTGGAATAACCAAATATGAATCAGCAACACTTAGAAACCCCTATAATGAGTATAAGTTTTAAGAAAATGCTATTACTTCATAGGGACAAAATTGGAAACGAAACTTTACTGGCGAGGTGCCTTTTAGTCTTAGATGCTAATAATTTGCGAGAAACATAGTGGAATAGTGGTTCCAAAAAGTTATATTGAAGAAGTGTGTTTATATTAACGTTTAAACCAAACTTGTTTCAAATTGCTTATTGTTCAGCCAAACCAAACACACCCTTGTTTGGTCAAAAGCTACTGTGACCTATAAAAACCATGTAGGCAAACTGGCTTATGAATTTTAGTTGGCACTTCTTATATGACGATCAAGCACGCAGTTTGCCAACTCTATTCTCAATCTATGTTTGAAAATAAAGTCAACTAATTACGTTAGGAATTCAACCCACATTTACAATGTACTTGATATTAGTGCACAGCAGCAATATATTCTTTCTTGCGTTTTGTCATTCTAATTATCATAAGACGGCTAACATTAGATCTTTCAGATTATATAGACGAGTAACTTGTCTGACATCACCCTTCCAATATTTGTCTCCAAGATTCAGCTATCCTGAATCAGCCAACCAATAAACTCGCAAAAACATGCATCTCAACGTCAAAGGACAGTAAGAAGCAGAATGTATATGGCTAACTTACTGCAACCCCCTATGATGCTGACATCTATTTTCCATCAAGCTCTATTTTCCATCAAGCGGAGTGAGAAGATGGAGGAAACGATACTTACGTGGATTATCAGGACAGGGCACTTCACCAAACTGATTTTGTCAATGTTCTGAAAAAGATGAAAGTTTCATATAAGACGGCACATGCTGATGAAGTTACCAAGCCATGAAAATACATAAAATGATATTTTACCTTGTAGATGTCAAACCAGTAGGTTCTTTTAACTTGGTATAACACCCTCATGCCAGAAAGAAGTGGACTGTGAAGAACCACACCTCTCAAATTGGGTAAACGGGAAGCAAGATCGACTGTGGGTCCACTACCAACAGACTGACCATACAATATCAGGTCTTCATCTTTGACCCCATACTGCTCCCTTAGGCAATTGTAAGCTGCATCTATGTCTGCGTATGTATTGCATTCTGTTGGCTGTCAAAAGTAAAGAATATAGTATATTCAGCCAAGAATACATGAACTTCTTGCTATAGATTGATTAAAAAAGCAATTACTAACTCTCACTTTGCATTTTAGCTGTGCAAGAGAGGAAGATACAAAAGTGGAGAAATAACACAATGCAAATATTAAGGAGTGAACATAGAGACGAGCAACGTAAATAGACAAACAAAAGGAGGTAAATCTCACCTTTCCACTTGACCGTCCGTAACCAGAGTAATCGTAGCTGGGAAAAGAAGGAAATCAAACAAACGTTACAGCACAGATTAGTCCAGAAACAGATTGATAAGTAAGAACAAATAACTAAACAAATATGGTTTAAAACATCTATGTTCATATTCCAGAAGTTAGCTTCTGTACAAAACTACATTAAGGCATGAGACTTCAAACATGGCACTTAGGAGCTAGGAAACAGTTTCATACTATTCAATCAAATTACATGAATTGCTTCCAGTTGATAACATTCAATTGTTCATGTAGCTAAATAATCTAAGCACGTGATAAAAAAGCCAAATCTTACTGCAAACGTTTTACAGATGATCGATGGATAAGGTACAACACGGAATTTTTTTTCCCTTTTTGCCTTTCCTCTTGTATGACCGTTATAATTTTTGGCAATAAATGCCACTAATCTTCATTAAAAAAAAAGGAACATGGAAATAGAGTTATTTCTATCATGGGAAACTGGCAAGCTATACTAGAATGATAAGCTCCCCACCCATTATCAGAAATATTATGAAATTTGTTGCCCTAATAAAGTCGGTGACAGTAAATGCAAGCCCAAAAGTAAAACATGTGCTAATCCATACAAATCAACCAAAAAAGTCACATTTCAGTTTTCACAGAATCACAGCCAGTGGGTTTATTTCAAATCATTCCTAGCACAATAAGCCCAATTATGTTTCTTCAGAAAATTAATCTTATAGATGGCATTATGTTATAAAAAATTGTTCTTCACGGAATTCATCCAACTAAATCTTCTAGACGAAGATACAATGAACAGGCCCACGTCGCTTTCACGCTACACCTATATGTGAGGTTTCCAAAGCCTAAGGTATATCATATAACTTATACTTCTTAAATTATTGCTCCTTAATGGCAGGCTCTTAGAAGTCGTCCCAGTAGTTTCAAATTGGGACCTCAAAGTCAGGTTCAACCATACCTCTCTAACTAATTTCAACATCTAGTTACTCCAACTTCTTTTCCTAATCTTCATTCTACATCAACTGCAGTTTCACAATAATGTTAAACATGTTAAACTTCTACCCACTATGTTGGGTTCTCAGTACCAAAAGTAAAAAATACCAAAAAACTAGAACAAGTACCAAAATTGATGGAGGTTGAAGAGATTAACCATTAATAAGAGACTGCTTCTATGACATATTGTGGTAGCGCATAACTATGTTCAATACATGACAATTTGAACTTCTAAACACTTAAGAGGTAGAATGCAATAAAGCAAATCTATCGGTAGACATAAGCTGGGCCTGGTGAAACAGTTTCGTAAAACAATCATACATTATCAAAAATTCAAACTTGTTTTTCTCAGTAAGAAGCTACTAGAGCATGTTCATCAAAACTACGAAACCAGAAATTGGGTCATCCTGCAATAAAATGAGACAAGTACCATTGCAGCAGGACAGGCGTTGTAACTTCTATAACCTATGCCTACTATATTTCAAGTAGGAACTTCTAACAAGCCTAATTTCCTTCGTTCACACAACAGCCATAATCCCATTCGCACATTGTAACATCCTTATATGCATGTAAGGCTGTAAACATTACCAGTCATGGCATTTCCAGTATGCGAATGAACTGGCTGTTTGTGTGGGAAGTATTTCACATCAGCATAGAAATACCTGATCTTTTAACAGCCAACAAGCACGACTCAAGCGAGCATGATTCAATGGTGTTCTGGACCACCCCACTAATTCTACTTTGAACGGAACACAACGTTATCCATTAGATGTTAGGCAAGGGAATCAACAGCAATGGAATTCTGAAACCTGAGGTTTTTCTATGGCATCAAATCAAGCATAAAAAGAGAAAAAGGAGCTGCAAAATGAATTTTACCCCATGAGGTTAACCCGGAGCCGATTGCTGAGCTCGACGAAGAGCTCGTACATCTGACCCAAATCCGCCGCATTCCCGTGCGAATACAGCAGAGTAGCCGTGGCCCTGCGATGCTTGATATGGACGGCCACGATTTCGTTCCCTCGCCTAGTGGACAGCTTCAGTACATCCACGTCATCCCTCCTCGGCAACTCCGGCATGTACAGCTTGCCGCCGCCACCGCTAGAATCATCAGCTACCACCGTGTACGACGGCGGAGTCGGAGGGAAGAAAGCAAATTTCGCGGCAATTGACGAGGTGACTCCGCCCATCCTCTCCCCTTCTCCCTGCCGCCGCTGCTGCTGCTGTTTGTACTGTTACTGCTGCTTTATCAGTTGTACTAACAATCATCAGAAGCTGAGGATTCATAAAGGAACCAGCAACCCGCTCCCCCTTGCACTCCCTCCTCCACCTCCTCTAAATGTTTTCAGATCTCTGGGAAATTTTTAACAAAAAGGCAGCGATGAAGCAGAAGAAGAGCGGGCGGAAGGAGCCGGAGAGTGGGAAAGAGAGAAAGGGGGAAAAGAAAGGGGGGGTTTGAGAAAGCAGATGATGAGGAAAGCGCTAAGATAAGAAAGCAAAAAGGTGTGGGGGGAGTGTGGGCGGGTTGGGAACGGCGGCGCGTGAGAGAAACCAGGGAGGCGCGTGTGTAGAGGAGGAAAGCCGTGTCGAAATTGGGAATTAGAGGGGGGAGAAATTCATGGAACCAACACCATTGAATCTTTGATTTGAACGTTGAGAGTTATAGCTTTCAGATAGAGTTAGAGGGGGAGAAGGGGGACACGACTCGGTGGAGTCTGTCGCTCCATGACGGCGACGTTTGAGGGATTTGCTTCGTTGGCCTCCAGAGTCCAGCCCGTCCGCCCGCCAATACAATAATAAAAATCAAGGTTGTTAAATCTTTACGGGTCGGTTGATTAGATTCAGTCTATAACCAAAATCAAGCTTTAAAATGACTTTCATCGAATTGATAAGTGGTCTAACCTTTAAAGATGGAGAAGAAGAGAGAGGGAAGGAGAGGAGG